TCTTGATGATCCGATAAATGGTTGATTTAGGTGCAATCTTACTAGCAGCAATATCCTTGCCTGTGAAGCCCTTTTTGTGCGAAGCAATGATGACGGCACGTGTTTCCTTGCAGGTAACCATGGTTAACAGAGGAAGAACAATGATTTCAAGCACCACCCTCCTTTTAAAGCTTCCAGTCTGTTATTCTAACTCAATCAGCATGACAGAGTGATCTCCAGCCTTGTCCTCGTCAACACTCACTTATGTTAACGAGAGAATCACTGACATGATGGCAGCTGGTCCTTTTGTGGCAGGGCTGAAATGCAGTGGAAATGTTTTTTTTGGGATTAAGTTAATTTTCATGGCAAAGAGGGATTGCAATTCATCTGATCACTCTTCATGACATTCTGGAGTATATGCAAATTGCCATCATCAAAACTGAGGCAGCAGACTTTGTGAAAATTTGTATGTGTCATTCTCAAAAAGTTTGACCACGCCTGTACATTGTAGAATAATAGTGAAGACATCAAAACTATGAAATAACACATATGGAATCATGTAGTAACCAAAAAAGTGTTAAACAAATCAAAATATATTTTATATTTGAGATTCTTCAAATAGCCACCCTTTGCCTTGATGACAGCTTTGCACACTCTTGGCATTCTCTCAACCAGCTTCACCTGGAATGCTTTTCCAACAGTCTTGAAGGAGTTCCAACATAAACTGAGCACTTGTTGGCTGCTTTTCCTTCAAACAAACAACCCACAAATTCTGACAAACTCCAAGCATTGATTATGCAAGAATGGGCTGCCATCAGTCAGGATGTGGCCCAGAAGTTAATTGACAGCATGCCAGGGCGGATTGCAGAGGTCTTGAAAAAGATGGGTCAACACTGCAAAAATAGACTCTTTGCATAAACTTAATGTAATTGTCAATAAAAGCCTGACACTTATGGAACGCTTGTAATTATACAAATGATAGTCCCACTAAGCGCAAACCAGATGGGATGGCGTATCACTGCAGAATGCCTTGAATTCTAAATAAATCACAGTGTCCCAGCAAAGCACCCCCACACCATAATACATTTAAATTTCAGTCATTTAGCAGACAATCTTATCCAGAGCGACTTACAGTTAGTGAGTGCATACATTTTTATACTGGCCCCCCGTGGGAAACGAACCCACAATCCTGGCGTTGCAAGCGCCATGCTCTACCAACTGAGCTACAGGGGACTAACACCTCCTCCTCCATGCTTTACGGTGGGAACTACACATGCAGAGGTCATCCGTTCACCCACACCGCGTCTCACAAAGACATGCCGGTTGGAACCAAAAATCTCAAATTTGGACTCCAGACCAAACGACAAATTTCTGAGGCTGTTAACTCTAATGAACTTATCCTCTGCAGCAGCAGAGGTAACTCTGGGTCTTCCATTCCTGTGGTGGTCCTCATGAGAGCCAGTTTCGTCATAGCGCTTGATGGTTTTTGCGACTGCACTTGAAGAAAGTTTCAAAGTTCTTGAAATGTTCCGTATTGACTGACCTTCCTGTCTTAAAGTAATGATGGACTGTTGTTTCTCTTTGCTTATTTGAGCTGTTCTTGCCATGATATGGACTTGGTCTTTTACCAAGAGTGGAGTGGCCTAGCCAGTCTCCAGACCTGAACCCAATAGAAAATATTTGGAGGGAGCTGAAAGTCCGTATTGCCCAGCGACAGCCCCGAAACCTGAAGGATCCGGAGAAGGTCTGTATGGAGGAGTGGGCCAAAATCCCTGCTGCAGTGTGTGCAAACCTGGTCAAGACCTACAGGAAATTTATGATCTCTGTAATTGCAAACAAAAGTTTCTGTACCAAATATTAAGTTCTGCTTTTCTGATGTATCAAATACTTATGTCATGCAATAAAATGCAAATTAATTACTTAAAAATCATACAATGTGATTTTCAGGATTTTCAGTTGAAGTGTACCTATGATAACAATTACAGACCTCTACATGCTTTGTAAGTAGGAAAACCTGCAAAATCGGCAGTGTATCAAATACTTGTTCTCCCCACTGTATATACAGACACACTAGTATATATAATTTCCAAATTAATAACAACCATGATGGCCTAATAAGAATAAAATATTGTTGTTGTTGTTGTATTATCCTATTTCTATGTAATTAAAAAAGCAAATTATTGAAGTAACATATTTTGGATATTGGATTCGAGAAAAACCAAGTGGAATGCAAAGAACAGGTTTTACAGAACCCGAGGAGTGTCACGAAAACAGTAGATATTATTTATTTCACAAACAAAGCCGTTTCTGATAAAGCAGGTATACATGTCAAAAGTAGGAGACACGATAAAAAGTACTTACCCATGGCGGCAGCCATAGCTTATGTAAACATGACCAACGGTGAGTAACGACCGAATGCAAAGGACATAATTAAAATCAAATCTATTCTGAGTGAAGAAATTACAGCACCATTAATCAAACTATGAGAGACAATGTGAAATAACAACTGCAATCAGGTTCATGGCAAATCGAAAGGATTATGCAACAAATATACTATCTACATTATGGGATTTTTAAGTGCTATTTTGTGGGCATAATATTATGTAAACTATATTTGAGGGAAAAATCATTAACATGAGAAGAGTAATGTTAACACTAGAAGAATATATTCACCAGGACCAAGAGCTTTTCTTAACAAGCTGACCTGACCAGGCAAACCTCCCTGGGCTCTATAATTATAATGTTAGATAAGGCCCAGTCTGTTCGCTTTGTTGGGAAAAAAACTCGTCCTTATCTATAGTGCCAGGGACATGACTGCAAAAACATCTCTGCTGTATTACAACGCACACGTCAAAGGCCCTGGGTAAATGCGGAGATCACACGTCACCTGCTGGATTATAAGGCACATTACAACTGTGGAAAACAACCCCAGCCAGTCTACCCTGGGTATACCACTGTAGAACATGTGGGCGTGACTTGGATAACCTGAACTAATTTACTCCCTGTATTAGATATCTCAAGAGATAATACAATGCAGCAACTTGCACTTGGCTCAGGACTTGGCTCTAATACTATGCCATCATGTCAGTTTACAGATCGTACCAACGAGATTCACAATGAAATAACAGAGCTGAGTCCAAGACGGGGTACAGTTTTTGTCAAAATGGGGAATAAGAATAGGATGGACACGACTTCCAGTTAAAAGATCAGTAGAAACAAATGCAATTTAATCAGTTATGCTTGTCACAAACTGACAACAGCAACCCCAATTTTTCTCACACACACACTCTTTCCAGTCATTCAATGGTTATGCATGTCTTTCCAGGCATTCAATGGTTATGTATGTCTTTCCAGTCATTCAATGGTTATGTATGTCTTTCCAGTCATTCAATGGTTATGTACAGTGGGGGGAAAAAAGTATTTAGTCAGCCACCAATTGTGCAAGTTCTCCCACTTAAAAAGATGAGAGAGGCCTGTAATTTTCATCATAGGTACACATCAACTATGACAGACAAATTGAGAAAAAAAATGCAGAAAATCACATTGTAGGATTTTTAATGAATTTATTTGAAAATTATGGTGGAAAATAAGTATTTGGTCACCTACAAACAAGCAAGATTTCTGGCTCTCACAGACCTGTAACTTCTTCTTTAAGAGGCTCCTCTGTCCTCCACTCGTTACCTGTATTAATGGCACCTGTCCACAACCTCAAACAGTCACACTCCAAACTCCACTATGGCCAAGACCAAAGAGCTGTCAAAGGACACCAGAAACAAAATTGTAGACCTGCACCAGGCTGGGAAGACTGAATCTGCAATAGGTAAGCAGCTTGGTCTGAAGAAATCAACTGTGGGAGCAATTATTAGGAAATGGAAGACATACAAGACCACTGATAATCTCCCTCAATCTGGGGCTCCACGCAAGATCTCACCCCGTGGGGTCAAAATGATCACAAGAACGGTGAGCAAAATCCCAGAACCACACGGGGGGACCTAGTGAATGACCTGCAGAGAGCTGGGACCAAAGTAACAAAGCCTACCATCAGTAACACACTACGCCGCCAGGGACTCAAACCCTGCAGTGCCAGACGTGTCCCCCTGCTTAAGCCAGTACATGTCCAGGCCCATCTGAAGTTTGCTAGAGTGCATTTGGATGATCCAGAAGAGGATTGGGAGAATGTCATATGGTCAGATGAAACCAAAATAGAACTTTTTGGTAAAAACTTAACTCGTCGTGTTTGGAGGACAAAGAATGCTGAGTTGCATCCAAAGAACACCATACCTACTGTGAAGCATGGGGGTGGAAACATCATGCTTTGGGGCTGTTTTTCTGCAAAGGGACCAGGACGACTGATCCGTGTAAAGGAAAGAATGAATGGGGCCATGTATCGTGAGATTTTGAGTGAAAACCTCCTTCCATCAGCAAGGGCATTGAAGATGAAACGTGGCTGGGTCTTTCAGCATGACAATGATCCCAAACACACCGCCCGGGCAACGAAGGAGTGGCTTCGTAAGAAGCATTTCAAGGTCCTGGAGTGGCCTAGCCAGTCTCCAGATCTCAACCCCATAGAAAATCTTTGGAGGGAGTTGAAAGTCTGTGTTGCCCAGCGACAGCCCCAAAACATCACTGCTCTAGAGGAGATCTGCATAGAGGAATGGGCCAAAATACCAGCAACAGTGTGTGAAAACCTTGTGAAGACTTACAGAAAACCTTTGACCTGTGTCATTGCCAACAAAGGGTATATAACAAAGTATTGAGAAACTTTTGTTATTGACCAAATACTTATTTTCCACCATAATTTGCAAATAAATTCATTAAAAATCCTACAATGTGATTTTCTGGATTTTTTTCTCTCATTTTGTCTGTCATAGTTGACGTGTACCTATGATGAAAATTACAGGCCTCTCTCATCTTTTTAAGTGGGAAAACTTGCACAATTGGTGGCTGACTAAATACTTTTTTTCCCCACTGTATGTCTTCGAGGGAGAAAACCTCCTCTGGTAATGCAGTTACAGCCCTCCCTACAAGGTTATGATGTCACATGTGGCTCCTCCCACTGGGTGTGTCCTTGACGGGTGCGCGTGAGTGTGCTGGTTCGATTGATAGAAGGTGTGGCCTATGGAGTGGGCGTGGTTTGACGAGGAGGAGCTACTATCGGTGGAGAGAGCGGTCTCTACAAGAGGAAGGGACTTCAGATGGGGGGTGTTCTTTAGAATGGGGACTGTGTGTTTTGTGACCAGGGACACTTTTATCCCGGTGTTTCTTGTCTCTATGACTGTATCTGTCATTGTCTCTGACCCCTCTGTCTTTGTAGCCGTCTCTGTGGCCCGTGTTGCTGTCTTTGTCTTGTTTGTGTCCATTTTTAAGACTATGTTCTCTGCTGTCCCTATGACTGTCTTCGTCCCCTTGTCGTCTGTGATTGTCTCTGTGGTCTGTGGATGGGGTCCTGCTGCGCCGCCTACACTCTGATGTCTGTTCTCCTGAGCGGCCAGCAGGGCGGCGCTGTGGGATGGTGGTGCGCAGAGTGTTGAGCAGGAAACGTTTGTTGGTGCTGCGCAGTGGACATTTAATCCTGGAAGACAGTTGAACCAAAATGAACATTTCAAAGCCAGCAAGGCTTTCAATATGAGCCATTATCTTTGATATGTGTCTGTCTTGGTCTTTCACACCTTGCCATGTGTCAAGTACATTCTGCATTGAAAGCCAAACACCCATAACAGATTGTTTACCAGATCCTTTGGTAACTCTGAGCGTCTGCTAAATTTAAAAATTTTTTAACGTATCCCACTCACCAGCCTGCTGGACCCATGGTTTCTGCTCGCAAGCGAGCCCTATTGGTCTCCTTCAGCAGCTCCTCCACTGCACGTCTACACACACACACACACACACACAGAGAGACAGAGACAGAGAGAGAGAGAGAGAGAGAGAGAGAGAGAGAGAGAGAGAGAGAGAGAAGAGAGAGATTACTATGCCAGTCTACGATAGTCAGTCAGTCATGTCACGTGTGTCCTGGGTTGACCTGCTGAGCCAGTAGTATCCCGTCTCAGTGGGAACAACTGTTATAACTGCCCTTTGACCACGGATCAACTGTTACAGCTTCCCTTTGACCACGGATCAACTGTTACAGCTTCCCTTTGACCACGGATCCCAGACAAGTGTGCACATATTATTTTAATGTCAATGGCGCACACAGACATCAATCTATATTCTCCCTATGTGAGTTAGCTAGCTAGTCATGCTACAAATAATTGAATAACAGCCCAACATAACTAGCTAATCATTGACACGCATAACATGAATAGCAAGCTACCTAGCAGCTGAGCAGGTAAACAATTAACTAGCTATGTTAATAGCATAATAAATCACATTGACATAGCTACCTAGCTACTTGGCTAACGCTAGCTACTTGGCTAACGTTAGCTCTCCCTTTAAAACACCCCTGAAATTCACATCAAGCAAGAAATACCCAGTCTGGCAATAGGATAGATTATAACATACTTCTCCAATTCGCCATCATCTGCCATAGTGTAGTGATCAATGTAAAATAATCAAAAGATATTTCAAATCAATACTACCAATGTTAGCTAACGTTTATTTATGAATATTTACTCCTCCATGGGGGCCTTCGAGCGAGGACCCCGTAAAACTACTGTCCTTAGTAGTGCCTTACGTAATACCGGATTTTATATGTAAAAAAACAGATATAATTGTTTATCAACAAACTAATTATATTTCAATGTTTTACAACAGTATATATTTTGTCTAATATTGAAAATAAATGTCATAATTATACTTTTTAGTGGTTGATTTCGAACAGGCATAAAGGGAAGCCTCTAATTTCATTTTGAGATTGACAGCACGAGACCCTGCCCCCTTCTCCTTGACTGACTGCTTGAGAGGGGCAGTGGGCGGGTTCTTCACCGCGAAAGTCACCGGGGCGTTTTATGTGCGGCTGCTTCGGGTCTGCTTGTTGCGGTGAATGTGTGATTGAGGTCCGTTAATTGTCCCCTCTCGGGGCCGGAGTTCTCGGCACCAAGGAGAAGCCGGAATAGGTAATATAATGTATGTATTCTGCTCGCACATCTTCACTGTCACGATGTCTAGTACATATATATAAATCAGGTTCTATATCTATGGTCTAGTAATAGTCTATATAGCTTTCAATTGAAGTCGCTATTGTCATTCCATGATCCATCCATCTCCGCGCTATTCCACGGATCTCGAAGGAAGGGAGGGAGGAATCTGACAATCAGACAGACACTCTGGCTGGTTCACTCACCAGCCTAAATGGAGAAGAGTATTGCTGTCATCTAAACAATTATATGATCTATCTGAATCTGAATCTGAATGACGCCTTTGAGGGCAGTGCATAAAATGGGGAGCCTATAATGCAATTTGAATAGATAGCCTTTGTTTGGTATATGCAGTTTTGTTCTCCCCTTCAAAAAGCAATTTTGTTAGTCAGCCTTCAACAATATATATTATAGGCTAGGCTATATTGAAACGAAACATAAAATGAAACATTGCATATTCAGGTTTGTTTGTTTCTTGCGAAGAATGACAAGATGATTATGCTATTGAAATCATGGTAGGCATAATGGATTTTTGCCCATGGGATTGTGGTTTTAATAGCCTACAGACTACCATATTAACGTGATCAACTGTACCTGAGGGCAAGGAGATATCGCGTTTTCCCCTTGTCTGACATGCAAGATTGTTGTAGACTATATGTTATAGTCCTGGCCTACCCCTTTATTTGGGTTGGCAATAGGACAGACGTCATCTTCTTTGTGCATTATCCGGTGCATTTAATTTGTGCATTAGTCGCTGAGTCGCTGTAGGCAGTGACAGGTGCAAGGCCTTGTCTACTGCTGGTATCAATAGAGAGAGCAGAGGACAGCAAGTCTATGGATGAAATAACAATACAATAGCACAGTGTCCTTGAGGCACCGGGTAACACAACAAAGACAATAACACACAAACACACACGCCCACAACATGAGAGAGATAAGCGCTGTTCTGGGAAATCAGTAGAAGACCCTGTGGTGCCTATAACCTAATGAATATTTCCCAGACTTATGAAATGGCGCACGGTATGTAATGACATTTGCTGCTGCAATCCAGCTATGTTGAAAGTAAGATAAGATTTAAATGCTCTTGTAACTGCTGTACAGTGCTGGCAGAAGGATGAAGACAGAGGGCAAGAGAGGGAGAGAGAGAGAGAGAGAGAGAGAGAGAGAGAGAGAGAGAGAGAGAGAGAGAGAGAACAGAGAGAGAGCGAGAGAGAGAGAGATCGAGAGAGAGAGAGAGAGGGGAAGAGAGAGAGGATACGCTGCCTCTCGCTATATATCGATTCTCTCGGCGTGGGTCTTCCCTATCTCAGGTATAGAGAGCGATCTAATTTATAGACTGCATTAGTCTTGCATGTCAAACTTGTACACAGCAGTGGTTGAAAGACACTGCACACACCCCCAAACTCATACCCAAAAAGCATCCGCTGTGTGTGTATATGCGTGTGTTTTTGCGTGAGTGTGATAAAATGATGTCAGAGCTTTGTTATGGGAACAGAGGACCCTTGTGTCTACATGAATAATGCATCTCCAGCTGCACGCACACACACACACACACACACACACACACACACACACACACACACACACACACACACACACACACACACACACACAGAAAAAGAAACAGGTACTTAAAAGAAGGAAAAGGGTACCAGCAGTCAAGGAGAAGGAAGCAGGTTGTCACGGAGACAGGTTACATAGAGGCATGTAGTCATGGAAACAACAGTCATAAAGACAGGCAGAAACAGCAGTGGCACAGTCAGAAGGGCAGGTACCATTGAGAATATAGCCGGCAGCAGATAGAAGTGTACAGAAATAGAAAGGACCCATGGAGGAGAGAACAGTGTCTGCTGTGTACACTCCATCTTTATCTACACAGCTCTAAATGTCAAGCTCTACTGAACATGCTCTGTAGCCATGGAGACAGGAGCAGACCCTCGCACAGACAGACGGAGGATGCATCTTAACAGTCTAAAGTGGCTTCCTCTCCGCGTCATCTGAAATCACAGGATCGGTGAAAGCAATATGGTGGACGACTATTTAGCATTTGCTATGACCTCTTCAGTTTTTTTCAGATCCATGCAGATGGAGGAAAGGAGATGAGAGTAGAGGCTGGTAGTCAGGTGTTACTAGCTTGGCTCTGCTTCATGCTAAAATACGCTCCCTTGTGTCGATTTGTGTCCATGAGCTCCTCAGGGACAGGGCTAGGGTACTGGAGTAGGGGAAGTGAGTCTAAATGGCTTTGGACGTGAAACACAGTGGAAATGACTGGTACACAATGCATTAGTTCTGAGGACGGCTCAGCATTGGGGATTTGTACGAGTGGTCGGCTGTGTTTCGTTAGTTCTGAGGACGGCTCAGCATTGGGGATTTGTACGAGTGGTCAGCTGTGTTTCAGAGCTGCAAGGAGTTTTCCATTAGCTCTGGCTCTCTCACGCTGCAGAACCGGCCGGAGTGCATCAAAGACACACAAACACACACACACGTTTGTTTTACTATCCTTGTGGGGACCAAACAAATGATCCCCATTCAAAATCCTATTTTCCGTAACCGCTAACCCTAACCCTTCACCTAACCCTAACCTTAACCCTAATTGTAACCCTAAACCTAGACCTAACCCCTAAGCCTAATATAGCCTTTTTCCTTGTGGGTACCAGCGAAATGTCCCCACTTGACCGATTGTTTCTTGTTTTACTGTCCTTGTGAGGACTGCTGGTCCCCACAAGGATAGTAAAACCAATAACACACCACACACACAAACACACACACACACACACACATGCACACGGAAGTTGAGGCAACACAAAAACATCCCTCTCTCACACAAACACACATCCTCAGACATATTCCTGCAGGAACAAGGCAAAGTTCAATCCCCAAGTGTCACTCTTATTGATCAGTTGGCAGTCTTCCACTCTTTTTTTTCCCATGTCCCTATCTCACCCCTCACTCTCTCTTTCTGTCTTCGTCTCTCTTTTTCATTCTGTCTCTCTACTCCTTTGTTTTTCCATTCTACCCTCTCTCTAATCTACCCTTTCTCTCTGTCAACCTTTTTTCCTTCTCTCTTTCCATCTCTCTCTTCTCTCTCCTGTTTTCTTTCTCCCCTCTCTCCCACTCTTTCATATTCTCTCTCTCTTATTATCTCTTTCTCTCCCTCCCTCTCTCTCTCTCTTTATCATTCTATCCCTCTCTCTCTTTATCTCTCTATCCTTCCTCTCAACTATACCCATGTCCTCTCTGCCTCAATCCCAGATAATTCCCTCTCTGCCTCAATCGCAGATAATTCCCTCTCTGTGGGACTGGAATATTGCAGCAGGCGAGAGCGAAAGAGAGAATACACTGCCAAATTAGTGAGCAGGCGCAGTGCTACAGTACATAATCTCAGCACACACTACACACACATGCACACACACATTCATATAAACATACACACACACTGTCACATATACACTCATACAATGCAAATATTTACCAAATTATACAGTACTACACATGTATGCATGAATACACACTCACATGCACACACATGCAGAGACACACACACACTTTGTTTAATTTTCCCGTTTTTTAACCCCTGCTCTCTGACCTACAGGGTGATGTCTGATTGGCCACTGGGGGGCGGCTGTCCTCTCTGTCACCAGTTCACCCTCTGAGGTTTATGGGATAGGACGCCCCCCTCCCCACCCCTTCGTAACCTCCCAACCTGCAACCACAGTGACACGACTGTGCGAAAGGCCGTGCCTGGCGATTGGAGCCCTGGTCCTGACATGGGCAGCCCCGGCTGTGAGGTGAGTTTTGGTTTGCAGTTTGTACCCTCCCAGCTGTGTGTGTGAGGGGTACTGGTACCACCGTGATTAATAGTTTAATGTTGATCCTCTGATCGGCTATTTACCATTCCGATCCGCTATTTACAAATCCGATCCGCTAATTACCTTGTATACACAGAGAAAATACATGGTAAATTGGTAATTACACCGTAATAGCATACAAATTACTTGTTTGTTTCTTTGGGATTCATTCAAACAAGCTTTTCTGTTCAACTATCATTGTCTTCCAACATCTCCCATATAAATCTAATCTCCTTTATCCAGGTGGGTCCGGCGGGGCCTGTGGAGCCCGTGCTGGAGGCCTTGTGTCCAGAGTGTGGTCAGATCCACCGGGCCTGGGAGAACCACCTCTATAACTACCGCCTGGAGGTGGACGATGACCTGGTGTGCCACATCTGCCTGCAGCCCCTGGTCCAGCCCCTGGACACACCCTGCGGACACACCTTCTGTGCCCGCTGCCTCCGCAGCTTCCTCCAGGAGCGGGACTTCTGCCCGCTGGACCGGGCACGGCTGCATCTGCAGGTGTGTAGGCGGAGCAGCATCCTGGTGCACAAGCTGCTTGACAAGCTGTCTGTGTCCTGTCCCCTGGCCCCAGCCTGCAGCCTCAGCATGCCCCGCTGTGACCTGGAGGCACACCTCAAACACAGGTAGAGTGGAGTCACACACACACACACTTACACACTTCACACACTGGTCTAGGGGAATCACGTGTGCAAAGAAACACATGCATCCATGGCAAGCACACACACACAACTTCTGGTGTGAGTGAGGTGTCTAGCAAATGCTGTATGGGAAGAAGTTGCCCCTAACCACTGTTACAGGGTGAGATATTCCTTCATCCCTGTAATGGTGAAGGTATGGAGTTGGGTATGATCAGCTGATCCTAGACTTGTTTCTTACATGCAGCTCCCCCCGGGAGACCTCGGGGTGGGATTATTAGGTCCTGGGTCATGTGACTGGGGATTACCAGCCAGTTACTTGGTAATGGCACATCTATCATTCCAGTGATTATACTAAATTGTAATTATTTTGCACTATGGCCTATTTATTGCCTTACCTCCATAACTTACTACATTTCCACACACTGTATATAGATTTTCTATTGTGTTATTGACTGTACGTTTTGTTTATCCCATATGTAACTCTGTGTTGTTGTTGTTTTTATCGCACTGCTTTGCTTTATCTTGGCCAGGTCGCAGTTGTAAATGAGAACTTGTTCTCAACTGGCTTACCTGGTTAAATAAAGGTGAAATACAATTTAAAAAATACATGTGTTGTGTTGTCTGGCCGAGCCTCCATGTTCTCTGACGTCCACCATGCTGGGACCTGTTTAACCACTTCTTCTGTGACACTGCCAAGGGCAACCCCGACCTGTGGTGAGTCCGGTACTAGGGTAATACGTCTGGCTGTTCAAGCACCTCTCTAATCAGGCACAGAGCCTCACACACACACACACACACCTCACAATGTGAGTGGGTGTGTGGCGGTGGGGAGCTCAGCAGGCTAGTGGTAGCTGTGAGGAAACTGTACCGCAACTATATCTGAAGTGAGGGAGGTCTGTAGTGTAAAGTATTAAAAGGTGTGAAGATGTCGGTTCAAGAATTTGGTCTCTAAGCTGTGATGACTTGATGCTGAACTTTGTAGTGTTTAAATCAGTAAATAAGACATACATTGCAATTACTGTGTAGATATGCATCTATCTGGAGTTTATTGCTTGGTTTTTAAAGGTAGCTTGAGTGCTAGCCTTTCATCTTTAGCCAACTTGTTTGTTGTCCTGACTCTGCTGTGACATGACAACAACATAGGATTTGGATAAAGCTGGAACATACTGGTTACTAGGCTACTCCTGAACCGTGTGAGGTTCTGGACTGATTTTGGACTAGACCAGAGGAATGCCAACTAAGAACTGAGAACTTTTATTTTGCTGAATTCCACAGTCTGTAGCTGTCCCTATGGAAACTACTCTCCGTTGCTGTGTTGATGCATGGTTATTAAGGTTATAGCTGCTAAACGGCCAGATCTCAGGGGAAATTTACCTTAACGAGCTCAGGCTAACGAGCTGTTGCTAACACTAACAGGCTTTCACTGAGTCAGCTGTCTGGACACGTAAAAAAAAAAAAAAAAAAAAAAGTACCCAATTGTCATACTTGAGTAAAAGTATAGATACTGTACCTTAATAGAAAATGACTCAAGTGAAAGTGAAAGTCACCCAGTAAAATACTAGTTGAGTAAAAGTCTAAAAGTATTTGGTTTTAAATATACTTAAGTATCAAAAGTAAATGTAATTGCAAAAATATACTTAAGTATCAAAAGTAAAAGTATAAATCATTTCAAATTCCCTATATTAAGCAAACCAGACGGCACAATTTCCGTGGTTTTTAAATTGACGGATAGCCAGGGGCACACTCCAACACTCAGACATAATTTACAAATGAAACATTTGTGTTTAGTGAGTCCGCCAGATCAGAGGCAGTAGAGATGACAAGGGATGTTCTCTTGATAAGTGTGTGAATTTACAATTTTTCTCCTGCTAAGCATTCCAAATGTAATGAGTACTTTTGGGTGTCAGGGAAAATGTATGGAGTAAAAAGTATATTCGTTTCTTTAGGAATGTAGTGAAGTAAAAGTAAAAGTAGCCAAAAATATAAATAGTAAAGTACAGTACAGATGCCCCCCAAAATACTTAGTATTTTTTACTTAAGTACTTTACACCACTGTACACGGGACACCCACCCCTGTCCTGCTCTGCCCTGCTCTGCTCTGCAATGCTCTGCTCTGCTCTGCCCTGCTCTGCTCTGCTCTGCCGTACCCTATTCTGCTCTGCCCTGCTCTGTCCAGTCCAGCCTTTGGCCCAGTGTCCACTAAAGCTCAATTCTAATTATTTTAAAGTGCATCCTGTCTTACTTCCTTCCTCCCTCAAAGTCATCACTGATCCGCCAAGGTTGGATTGTTGATACCAATGAAATGAAAACCTTTGCCAACAACGTCAACTTGGTCAACAAACATTGCCAACAATTTGAATCAGTGATTACCTCAATGAAGTAAGGAATGGAGGAAGGATACCTTAAACAAGCGGAAGACTAGATGCTAGGTCGGAAAATTACAGGTTAAGACAACCTAATAATTCCATGTGGCAGCGTGATAAACGAAATCATTGGACCAGCATCATTGCAAATTCTACAGGATGAGCATTGAAAACGTGACCAGCGGTCTGGAAATTAAATATTAAAGTGGTCATTTGAAAAACGTCTAAATGAATAGAATGACAGTAAAACAGTTATGCTAACATTCACTTCCAGAAGAAAAAAAAGAATATATATATATATATATATATATATATATATATATATATATATAACAACAAAAAATAAAAGAACAACAACAAAAAACATTCACTTCCAGACTGACAAAATGGTGTGGACAGACATGGCCGCCCTGTTCGTAGCTCCTAGCCAATGTTGCTTGTTGGGGATCATTGCACAGTTGGAGCTAGGAACATAAGCATTTCACTACACCCGCGAAAAACATCTGCAAAATACATATACGCAACCAATACAATTTGATTTGATTCGATTTTCTGCATGGAATTATTACATTGTCTTAAGCTTTGGTACCTTCAACCTACACTAGATGTCCACTACACCTTCTCCTCACTAGATGTCCACTTCTCCTCACTAGATGTCCACTACACCTTCTCCTCACTAGATGTCCACTTCTCCTCACTAGATGTCCACTACACCTTCTCCTCACTAGATGTCCACTACACCTTCTCTTCAGCTTATGGACAAGTATATAAAATTGCTTCCCACTGGGTATCCAGTTGTGGCAGGTGAGCTCTGTCTCACTCTAAGTGGTCCCTAGGTCTTTCTGAGGTGTCTGTACGTGACTGGACTGCTCTGTTCTTCTATAGATTAAGGCCCAGGTCCGCGTGGGTCATTCCCTCTGCCCCAACCCTAAGACCGTAATGAAGCTAAGGATGGGAGGAGATCATGAGAGACAGAATTGGGTGTCTGTCAGCTTGGACATTTAATATTGTGTCACTAAAGCCGCCTTAAAGTCAGGGATTAGATTAGAACAGAAGACTGCCAGGGCACTTGGAACGTCCTTGAACTGGGTGGAATGTTCTAGAACGTGTCTGATGATCTGATGCTTGATCCTGGATGACTATCTGTGGTTCTTCCTGCTTCGTGCATAGCTTAAATCATAGTCTGGCAGCTAACCATCGGAGGGACTGGTCAATGCAGTAGGTTTCCTGATGTTTTCTGTGGTATCTGTTTATGAGCTGAACAGTAGTTTAACCCAATAACTCTTTGTTATTGGGTTGTCTTACCTTTCATGTATGCAGCATGTGTGTGTGTGTGAAATGTATGAACCCCTCAGTGTATATCTGCAGTTTTAAAGGTCAACTTTGGGCACGAAAAATTGTCCAACTCCGCCCCTTTCTCAATCTTCTAACAGAAATGCGGTGTACCTTTGGTGGTTCGTCGATGTGTCATTCTGGTAATGCGCGCCGCGACTGACGTAGCTAGTTCGTTAGCTATGCTAGCCACTTTAGCTAGCCAGTAACTCCTCCAGTATGTGTTGACATCATTTCACAGGATATGTTTTTGGACGGAAACTGTAGAGATCGGTAAGGAAGGGCACTTCTGTAGCCAAATATCTAATTCATCCATAGGCATTAAATGACCTGGTATGATGGTGCATTGATCAGTTATACAGTTTTTGCCCAAAGTCGACCCCCACATCCCTCTCTCTCTCTGTGTCCAGGTGTCCGGGGACGCAGTCTCAGCAGACCAGTTTAGAGGGACCACCATGTGATCACGGGGAGGAGGGAGCCATGGTGACCAGCCCCCCCAGGTCCCCACGCTCCCTCCAGACAGAGACAGACCTGCGGGAGGAGAGCTCCCCCTCGCCACCTGGTGGCACCTCCACCGCCGGAAGCAGCGTCCCTATGTGGACCGACGAGCCTGGACTGGACAACCCTGCCTTCGAGGAGAGCAATGAGGAGGACAGTGAGTAACAACTGTGTGTGTGTGTGTGTGTGTGTGTGTGTGTGTGTGTGTGTGTTACTAACCCCTCTCTGTGTGTAGGTGTGGTAGGGTTGGAGTGTGTGGTGCCCAGGGTAAAGCGACCCCTCAGTAACCCCTGCATCCATCTCCTCCGCACCGCCAGCTCTGCCTCCTCTGTGTGGGACTGCCCCGAGTCACCGCCCCTCTCTGCAGAAGAGGGTATGACATCACTTCCTCCATCTGACTTCCTGTCTCTAACCTTCCAATGTAATCATCTCGAATCTAAACATTCATGAATATAAGAGATTTATGTCTTACATGTCCCTGTGTATCTCCCAGGTTGTGTGAAGCTGCCGTCCCTTCCAGAGGGTGAAATCACCACCATCGAGGTCCACCGCTCCAACCCCTATGTAGAACTGGGCATCAGCATCGTCGGGGGTAATGAGACGCCTCTCATCAACGTGGTGATCCAGGAAGTGTACCGTGACGGGGTCATTGCTCGAGATGGCAGGCTTCTGGCCGGGGACCAGATACTACAGGTGAGGACCATGGATCCATCCTCACCTCTTCCTAAACTTTTCTCCTCTAATATCCCTCCAAAGCCAACATCCCTCCCTTTCCTTCTCCCTCTCCTAATGTCTCTCTCTCTCTCTCTCTCTCTCTCTCTCTCTCTTTCTCCCTCTCTGCAGGTCAACAGTGTAGACATCAGCAATGTGCCCCATAACTTTGCCCGCTCCACGTTGGCACGCCCCTGTGCCACACTACAGCTCACTGTCCTAAGGGAGCGCCGCTGTGTCTCTCGCCCACCCGCCTCCACCACCCCCTCAGTGCCCCATGCCCCCTGTTCCACCCCAGAGGGCATCCCGTCCAGCCCTGCCAGCCTGAGGATCACCCTGCAGAAGCGGGACTCGTCAGAGCAGCTGGGCATCAAGCTGGTGCGGAGGACTGACGAGGTGGGGGTGTTTGTGCTAGACCTGCTGGACGGCGGCCTGGCTGCCAAGGACGGGAGGCTGTGTAGTAACGACCGCGTACTGGCGGTCAATGAGCAGGACCTACGCCACGGCACGCCTGAACAGGCTGCTCAGATCATACAGGTAAGACTGCTAGGGGATAAACAGTGTTTCTGACCGTTCCTCTTGTGGATGGCTAAACCTACTCCCTTTTCCTGTCAACTACAGGCCAGCGGCGAAAGAGTCTATCTGCTGATTGGCCGTCCCAGCAAGCCTACCCCTCCCCCTCCATCAAGCTCTGCCTCCAACAGAGATCTGTACTGCCATGACCACTTCCTCCCCAACCACCATCACCATCACCACAGCTTCTCCCCCAGCCCCAGCACCGTGCCCACCTGTGCCCATCTGGCCCGCTCCTGCACCCACAGAGTGAGTACACACCTGAGGGAGTGTGTGTGTCTGACTGTGTCTGTTCATATGTATCTATTTATGCTGGAGGCCTCTCCCAATGTGTATTATACACTGTAGGACCTCTCTTAGTGAGTGTGTGTGTGTGTGTGTGTATATATATGTGTGTGTGTATATGTGTGTGTGTGTGTGTGTGTGTAGGACCTGTCCCAGTGTGTGACCTGTAAGGAGAAACACATCACTGTGAAGAAGGAGCCTCATGAGTCTCTGGGTATGACCGTGGCCGGGGGGCGGGGCAGCAAGAGCGGCGAGCTGCCCATCTTTGTGACCAGCATCCAACCACACGGCTGCCTGTCACGGGATGGACGAATCAAACGAGGTGAGCTGTGGGCTACATCACAGCCTGTTAGATTATTGAGGCCAAGTTCTTGTTTGGTTTGGCTCCTTTCTTTGCTCATGATCTGCCACAGCTACATTCTCAGGAGTCAGTGTTGGAATGTTCTCTCTCAGGACTCTTTGTCCCTAAGTAACAATGTCTCTCTCTGTCCCTCTCCCTCCTTCTATCCCTCCTTCTTTCTCTCTCTCTGTCGGTTCTTCACTCTGCCTCCCCATCTCCTGTTGTCCCTGTTTATCTCTCCCCACTCTATCTCATTATCTCTCTCTGTCACCTCCTCTCCTCCAGGTGACATCCTCCTGAGTATCAACGGCCAGGACCTGACCTACCTGAGCCACAGCGAGGCGGTTGGCACCCTGAAGGCCAGCGCAGCATCGCCCTCCGTCCAGCTGAGGGCGCTGGAGGTCAGCATGGTGGAGGAGCCGGACCAGGGCCAGAGCCCCGAGGACCAGCTGCTGCCCACACACCCCCACACACACGACTCGGACTACGACTCCTCCTGGTCCCCGTCCTGGGTCATGTGGCTTGGCCTGCCCAGGTAAACAGGAGCTATAGAAGACACACCTCATTGGGTTGGACTCACCTGTGGTGGTTGGGATGTTGGGAGTTTATGTGTGAAAGTATTGCCTTGATTTATTTAGTTTTTTCATATTAGTGTAGGTGACGCAGAGGAGACAAGGAAAGGAAGCAAGTTGACTAGTGAGATCCATCCCATGATTCACCTGAAGTCATCTGTGGAGAATGTGTTTGTATGTCGGCGCATTTCTGTTGATTTTGATTTGAGTGTGTTCTGTGTTGGGATGTAAATGTTGCACGGATCATGTATTATGTGTGTGTGTTGATGTGTTTGTGTTGATGTGTGTATGTTGATGTGTGTGTGTTGGTGTGTGTGTTAAAGCCAGGGTGCGTGTGTTACATAAGGTGGTCCATACGAGGGATTATGTGTGTGTGTTGTCCTGAACTGTGGTGTAACCATCAACAGCTGTGGATTATCAACTGAGGGGCATGTGGTTACATCCCTAATGTCTCTCCCCAATTCATCCTTCAGAGACTGGTACAGAGAGGACAGCCTCAAACTCACCCCTCCCTTTTCTATCGCTCTCTCCTTTTCTTCCGCTCTGTCTCTCTTTCTCTCCTCCCTCTCTGAATCTCCCTTCCTCCATCTCTCTTTTCGTCTGTCTTTCTCCATCTGTCTCATTTCTCTTGCCTTACGTCACCATTTTTCTCCCTGCCCCTCCCTCCCTCTCTCCCTAAACCTGGCTCAACCCTCTCCACCGCCCCCCTTCTTCTGTATTTCTATTTATTATGGGTCTCCTGTCTCCCTCACTAAAACACTGACTCATTCATTCCAGCCATCTCTATCTCAGCTTCCTTCACAGTAGCCATGAGATTGTTCTGCGTAGAAGTCACCCTGGGAGCTGGGGCTTCAGCATCGTCGGGGGATACGAGGAAAACCATAGCAACCAGGCATTCTTTATCAAGACCATTGTCCTTGGAACGCCTGCATACTCCGATGGCAGCCTCAAGTAAGCCGTCAGTCATGTTGTTGGGTTGTGAGCATAAAGACATATTTCCATTCTTTGTAAGTTAATGGACAATAAAGTACATCTTATATATACAGTGGGGAGAACAAGTATTTGATACAGTGCCGATTTTGCAGGTGTTTTCCTACTTACAAAGCATGTAGAGGTCTGTAATTTTTATCATAGGTACACTTCAACTGTGAGAGACAGAATCTAAAACAAAAATCCAGAAAATCACATTGTATGATTTTTAAGTAATTAATTAGCATTTTATTGCATGACATAAGTATTTGATCACCTACCAACCAGTAAGAATTCCGGCTCTCACAGACCTGTTAGTTTTTCTTTAAGAACCCCTCCTGTTCTCCACTCATTACCTGTATTAACTGCACCTGTTTGAACTCGTTACCTGTATAAAAGACACCTGTCCACACACTCAATCAAACAGACTCCAGCCAAGTGTCTGCGGGTTTTCGCTTCCACCCTTGTACTTGATTGACGTCACTAATTAGTAAGAAACTCCCCTCACCTGGTTGTCTAGGTCTTAACCCGCAGACACTCGGCCCTCTGTGGAATGAGTTTGACACCCCTGCTATAATGGCACGGATATAAAGATGTCCTCTATCTACAGTGGGGAGAACAAGTATTTGATACACTGCCGATTTTGCAGGTTTTCCTACTTACAAAGCATGTAGAGGTCTGTAATTTTTATCATAGGTACACTTCAACTGAAAATCCAGAAAATCACATTGTATGATTTTTAAGTAATTAATTTGCATTTTATTGCATGACATAAGTATTTGATACATCAGAAAAGCAGAACTTAATATTTGGTACAGAAACCTTTGTTTGCAATTACAGAGATCATACGTTTCCTGTAGGTCTTGACCAGGTTTGCACACACTGCAGCAGGGATTTTGGCCCACTCCTTCATACAGACCTTCTCCAGATCCTTCAGGTTTCGGGGCTGTCACTGGGCAATACGGACTTTCAGCTCCCTCCAAAGATTTTCTATTGGGTTCGGGTCTGGAGACTGGCTAGGCCACTCCAGGACCTTGAGATGCTTCTTACGGAGCCACTCCTTAGTTGCCCTGGCTGTGTGTTTCGGGTCGTTGTCATGCTGGAAGACCCAGCCACGACCCATCTTCAATGCTCTTACTGAGGGAAGGAGGTTGTTGGCCAAGATCTCGCGATACATGGCCCCATCCATCCTCCCCTCAATACGGTGCAGTCGTCCTGTCCCCTTTGCAGAAAAGCATCCCCAAAGAATGATGTTTCCACCTCCATGCTTCACTGTTGGGATGGTGTTCTTGGGGTTGTACTCATCCTTCTTCTTCCTCCAAACACGGTGAGTGGAGTTTAGACCAAAAAGCTCTATTTTTGTCTCATCAGACCACATGACCTTCTCCCATTCCTCCTCTGGATCATCCAGATGGTCATTGGCAAACTTCAGACGGGCCTGGACATGCGCTGGCTTGAGCAGGGGGACCTTGCGTGCGCTGCAGGATTTTAATCCATGACGGCGTAGTGTGTTACTAATGGTTTTCTTTGAGACTGTGGTCCCAGCTCTCTTCAGGTCATTGACCAGGTCCTGCCGTGTAGTTCTGGGCTGATCCCTCACCTTCCTCATGATCATTGATGCCCCACGAGGTGAGATCTTGCATGGAGCCCCAGACCGAGGGTGATTGACCGTCATCTTGAACTTCTTCCATTTTCTAATAATTGCACCAACAGTTGTTGCCTTCTCACCAAGCTGCTTGCCTATTGTCCTGTAGCCCATCCCAGCCTTGTGCAGGTCTACAATTTTATCCCTGATGTCCTTACACAGCTCACTGGTCTTGGCCATGGTGGAGAGGTTGGAGTCTGTTTGATTGAGTGTGTGGACAGGTCTCTTTTATACAGGTAACGAGTTCAAACAGGTGCAGTTAATACAGGTAATGAGTGGAGAACAGGAGGGCTTCTTAAAGAAAAACTAACAGGTCTGTGAGAGCCAGAATTCTTACTGGTTGGTAGGTGATCAAATACTTGTCATGCCATAAAATGCAAATTAATTACTTAAAAATCATACAATGTGATTTTCTGGATTTTTGTTTTAGATTCCGTCTCTCACAGTTGAAGTGTACCTATGATAAAAATTACAGACCTCTAGATGCTTTGTAAGTAGGAAAACCTGCAAAATCGGCAGTGTATCAAATACTTGTTCTCCCCACTGTACACACACAGAGTATATAAAACATTAAGGACACCTGCTCTTTCCATGACGTAGACTGACCAGGTGAATCCAGGTAAAAGCTATGATGCTCTATTGATGTCACTTATTGAATCCACTTCAATCAGTGTAGATGAAGGGGAGGAGACAGGTTAAATGATTTTAAAGCATGAATTGTGTATGTGTGCCATTCAGAGGGTGAATGGGCAAGACAAAAGGTTTAAGGGCCTTTGAACGGGGTATGGTAGTAGGTGCCAGGCGCACCTGTTTGTGTCAAGAGTGCAACGCTGCTGGGTTTGTTTTTCCATACTCAAGTTTACTGAGTGTATCAAGAATGGTCCACCACCCAAAGGACATCCAACCAACTTTACACAACTGTGGGAAGCATTGGAGTCAACATGGCCAGCATCCCTGTGGAACGCTTTCGGCACCTTGTAGAGTCCATTCCCCTGACGAATTGAGGCTGTTCTGAGGGCAAAGGGTGGGGTGCAACTTAATATTAGGAAGGTGTTCTTAATGTTTGGTATACTCAGTAGATATGTACTGTATATGGTCCATCCATATTGATGTTCCCCTCTGTGTCCCCCTCTATTTCCTAGGTGTGGGGACATGATAGTGGCAGTTAACGGGCTGTCTACGGCTGGTATGAGCCACTCAGCCCTGGTACCCATGCTGAAGGAGCAGCGTAGCAGAGTGGCTCTCACCGTGGTCTCCTGGCCTGGCAGCCTGGCATAGAACCGGGTCAAACTTCACTGGACTGCATCATGCCACGCTGAAATTACTCTAGACTGTATCTAACCAGGGCCAAATCATGCGAAACCAGGCTACGGCGCCAAATCATGCCATACTGAAATTGCTCTGGATCAGACCGACTGTAACCCGGGCCAAATCACATGGACTTCATCAAACCAGGCTAGAGTGAACCTGGCCCTCCTAGGCAAAATCCCTTGAGACTAGGCTGGACCTTGCCAGCCCCACGCCACACTGCAATCACACACTGATGTGTTCATACAGATGTAGGATCTTAATTTGATCACCCTGTTGCAGAACTTTCCTGCAATGCAGGACATTTCAAACTTGTAGTGTATGAGGTTTAAAAAGGCTTCTAAAGTTTGTAATGTCCACTTTTCCTTACAAAACATTTATCAAACTTTACAAAAATGTCCATTCATTATAATCCACATTCCTGCTGTAGCAAACTGGATCAAATTAAGATCCTATATCTGTATGGTCATGTTATCGGTCTTCACTTCCACACAGAGTGTGGGACTGTATCTGTTAAAGGACAGTATACAGTGGGGGAAAAAAGTATTTAGTCAGCCACTAATTGTGCAAGTTCTCCCACTTAAAAAGATGAGAGAGGCCTGTAATTTTCATCATAGGTACACGTCAACTATGACAGACAAATTGAGGAAAAAAATTCCAGAAAATCACATTGTAGGATTTTTAATGAATTTATTTGCAAATTATGGTGGAAAATAAGTATTTGGTCACCTACAAACAAGCAAGATTTCTGGCTCTCACAGACCTGTAACTTCTTCTTTAAGAGGCTCCTCTGTCCTCCACTCGCTACCTGTATTAATGGCACCTGTTTGAACTTGTTATCAGTATAAAAGACACCTGTCCACAACCTCAAACAGTCACACTCCAAACTCCACTATGGCCAAGACCAAAGAGCTTTCAAAGGACACCAGAAACAAAATTGTAGACCTGCACCAGGCTGGGAAGACTGAATCTGCAATAGGTAAGCAGCTTGGTTTGAAGAAATCAACTGTGGGAGCAATTATTAGGAAATGGAAGACATACAAGACCACTGATAATCTCCCTCGATCTGGGGCTCCACGCAAGATCTCACCCCGTGGGGTCAAAATGATCACAAGAACGGTGAGAAAAAATCCCAGAACCACACGGGGGGACCTAGTGAATGACCTGCAGAGAGCTGGGACCAAAGTAACAAAGCCTACCATCAGTAACACACTACGCCGCCAGGGACTCAAATCCTGCAGTGCAAGACATGTCCCCCTGCTTAAGCCAGTACATGTCCAGGCCCGTCTGAAGTTTACTAGAGTGCATTTGGATGATCCAGAAGAGGATTGGGAGAATGTCATATGGTCAGATGAAACCAAAATATAACTTTTTGGTAAAAACTCAACTCGTCGTGTTTGGAGTACAAAGAATGGTGAGTTGCATCCAAAGAACACCATACCTACTGTGAAGCATGGGGGTGGAAACATCATGCTTTGGGGCTGTTTTTCTGCAAAGGGACCAGGACGACTGATCCGTGTAAAGGAAAGAATGAATGGGGCCATGTATCGTGAGATTTTGAGTGAAAACCTCCTTCTATCAGCAAGGGCATTGAAGATGAAACGTGGCTGGGTCTTTCAGCATGACAATGATCCCAAACACACCGCCCAGGCAACGAAGGAGTGGCTTCGTAAGAAGCATTTCAAGGTCCTGGAGTGGCCTAGCCAGTCTCCAGATCTCAACCCCATAGAAAATCTTTGGAGGGAGTTGAAAGTCCGTGTTGCCCAGCGACAGCCCCAAAACATCACTTCTCTAGAGGAGAACTGCATGGAGGAATGGGCCAAAATACCAGCAACAGTGTGTGAAAACCTTGTGAAGACATACAGAAAATGTTTGACCTGTGTCATTGCCAACAAAGGGTATATAACAAAGTATTGAGAAACTTTTGTTATTGACCAAATACTTATTTTCCACCATAATTTGCAAATAAATTCATTAAAAATCCTACAATTTTTTTTCTCATTTTGTCTGTCATAGTTGACGTGTACCTATGATGAAAATTACAGGCCTCTCTCATTTTTTTAAGTGGGAGAACTTGCACAATTGGTGGCTGACTAAATACTTTTTTTCCCCACTGTATCGTCTCTGTACTGTTTCTCTTCACTGGACTGCAGTAGTAGATACTAGGGGCATATTCAGGTGGCCTCAACGTTACAGAACGTTTCAGATAGAAATTCACTACATAGAACCGATAGGATTCTCTGCCATGTAGAATAATGAATTTGATCAGCTCTAGGCCATGTATTTCTGTCATTATAAACGCTTCTAGGGTTATGTTCAGGAGGAGAAATCATTTTGAAACAAGTTCAGGTAGCACCTGTTTAAAAATAAAATAAAGAAGTCGCTCCTACTGAATACAGCCTTACCGGATACCTGCCACGCCCTGGGGGCCCGACCCGCCCCCCTGGACACAGCCTTAGGCCTCATCACCGTGACGACCCAGCCGTCAGCTTGCTGGGGTTTTATACGTGTGTGAATGTGTGTTCTGCGGTTTAATAAAGACTTCCCAGAGTCGATTCTCTTACCTAGAAGTCCGTCCACTGTGCCTGTGTGTGCGTGCCACCTCTCCCTGGCCCCACACCTTCATAGTTAGAGGAAAACTGGTTTTTGGCATGCTAGTTTACTGGAGTCTGTTCAGCACCTGGATGTGTTTACATTTTAGTCATTTAGCAGACGCTCTTATCCAGAGCGACTTTCAGGAGCAATTAGGGTTAAGTGCCTTGCTCAGGGGCAAAGACTGATTTTTCACCTAGTCGGCTCGGGGTTTCAAACCAGCAACCGGTTACTGGCCCAACACTCTTAACCACTAGGCTACCTGCTGTGTGTGTTCAGTCAGTTCCGTTGGTGTGAGCACTGAGAAGAGGATGGGAGTTGATTTATTTGATTTATTTAGAGTACAGACTTTTGGCTATTTTAAATGCCATTCCTTGTTCACCAAGCTCACCCCTCCCCAGGATGAAAGGAGCAGACTTCAGAACCCGATATGAATGTGCCATTATTGGAGGCACTTAGCAAATGCCCATCAATCGAACCTCATTGCTAAACATGTTGCATTACACAATCATTAACATCAGACAAAAATCCAGAGGGTGCAGTAGTGAGGATATATTTGATAAGTGTTTGATACATAACTGAAAGAGTCGGCTCCTGAAAACAAATTGAACAAAAATACTTCACACAGCGCAAAGTATAGGTTCCTCTTCCACAGGTTTCAGAACACCCCCATGGTTCTGATGGACCAGTCCATGTCAGGGCAGGGGTGTTACAGGGTGTAGGACCCAAGCTGGTGTTACGGAGTTGGGCAGCCAGTCTGCTGGTCTCAGCCTGTGGGGACACAGTCCCCGACTCAGACTGATGGGATGACTTACCCACTTCGTGTCGTCTCAAACGCGCCTAATGAGGAGAAAACATTTCTCCATCAAATATGCCACTAAAGCAGAGCCAGATAGTTCTGCAAATCTATTTTAGAATTGGATAGGATACCATATTGTAACTCTGGTCATTTACAGTGTGCTCACCTGCATAGCGAAGCTCTTGCCACAACCTACATGGGTACAGGAGAAGGCCTTCTGGCCCTTGTGGTCTGACATTACGTGGTTCTCCAGATTGAAGTGTGTGGTGAAGGTCTTCCCACATCCAGTTTTGGAGCACCGGAACTCCCTCTTGTGGACCCAGAGCTGGTGCTGCTGCAAGAACCATGCCTCCAGGAACATCCTACTGCAGCCGTCACACTGCAGCTTGACTGAGCACACACACACCTTGCTTGAGTCACTGAAGCAGAACAACGTAAGAGCAGTTCACAAGACAATGCAAGATGAAAGCTGGAGAACAGTCAGGAGAGCGGTGGTGGAGAGAGGGCCTACATACCTCTGTGTACAGCCTTCCTTTGCTTCTGATACGCTGACCAAATCTCCCCTTGGAGACAGCCCTCCACAGCACAAGGGTAACCTGGGAGAGAAAATACATGACAGGTTAATATGTATGGAAAAAAGCTTCTACAGGAATAGAATGGCGCCAGAGGTAATGGTGGCCGTTTTACAGGCTCCTGACCAAATTTGCTATTGTGTATTTCTTAGCTCTCATCAAAACTTTTTTTTGTACATAATGTTTCAGCCATCCTTTCCCATGATCGAAGAGAACTTCTGGTCATCAGAACAGCTATCTCTAACCTCTATTTGGACCAGGCCCTAATCCCAGACACTCGTAGAAGGCGAATACTGCGCTTTAGAGGCCGGCGTGCAGGCAGCCCTGGTGAGACTACGGCGGCAAATGAATAAATCGCCTCTACCTTCTTTTCTATTGCCTAATGTGCAGTTGCTGGGAAATAAACTGGAAGAGCTCAGTTTGAGACTATCCTATCAACGGGACATTTAGAACTAATATACTATGCTTCTCGGAGCCATGGCTGAACAAGGAAATGGATAATATAAATCTAGCTGGTTTTTTTCTATGCATCAGCAGGACAGAACGGCAGAGTCCGGTAAGATCAGGGGTGGTGGTGGTATGTCTATTAACAGCTGGTGCGCAATCTCTAATATTAAGGAAGTCTCGAGGTTCTGCTCGCCTGAGTTAGAATACCACAAACTGTTGACCATACTATTTACCAAGAGAGTTTGTATTTTGCGTATCTGTCCATTTACCGCCACAAACCAATGCTGGCACTAAGACCGCACTCAACGAGTTGTATAGGGGCACAAGCAAACAAGAAAATGCTCATCTAGAGGAAGCGCTCCAAGTGGCCGGTGATTTTAATGCAGGAAAGCTGAAATCCGTTTTACCTCATTTCTACCAGTAGGTCACCTGTGCGACCAGAAGGATAAAAACTCGAGATCACTTTAACTCCACACAGAGAAGCATGCAAAGTTCTCGGCTGCCCTCCATTTGGCAAATTGGACCATAACCTCAATCCTCCTGATTCCTGCTTACAAGCAAAAACTCAAACAGGAAGTACCAGTGACGCGTTCAATAGGGAAGTGGTCCGATGAAGCGGGTGCTAAGCTACAGGACTGTTTTGCTAGCCCAGACTGGAATATGTTCCGGGATTCAGCCGATGGCATTGAGGAGTTTACAACATCAGTAACCGGCTTCATTAATAAGTACATCGACGACGTTGTCCCCACAGGTAGACCATATAGGTAGTGTCTTAACAAAGTATTCATACCCCTTGACTTATTCCACATTTTGTTGTGTTACAGCCTGAATTCCAAATGATTTAAATAGATCCCATGCCCATCTACACACAATGACATAGTGAACCCATATTTAGACATTTCAGCAAATTGATTGAAAATTAATTACAGAAATCTAATTTACATAAGTATTCACACCCCTGAGTCAATACTTTGTAGAAGCACCTTTGGCAGCGATTACAGCTGTGAGTCTTTCTGGGCAAGTGCAACATTTGCTCATTACTCTTTTCAAAATTCTTCAAGTTTTGTCAAATTGGTTGTTGATCATTGCTAGACAACCATTTTCAGGTCTGACTCTTGCCACAGATTTCAAAAAGATTTAAGTAAAAACTAACTTGGCCACTCAGGAACATTCACTGTGTTCTTGGGTAAGCAACTCCAGTGTAGATTCAGCCTTGTTTTAAGTTATTGTCCTGCTAAAAGGTGAATTAATCTCCCTGTGTCTGGTGGAATGCAGACTGAACCAGGTTTTCCTTTAGGATTTTGCCTGTCCTTTTTTTGTATCCCGAAAATTCTCCAGTCCTTAACCATTACACGCATACCCAGAACATGATGCAGCCACCACTATGCTTACAAATATGGAGTGTGGTACTCTGTAATTTGTTGTATTTGCCCCAAACATAACTCAGGACAGTATTACTTTAGTGCCTTGTTGCAAAAAGGATGCATGTTTTGGAATATTTGCATTTCTGTACAGGCTTCCTTTCCACTCTGTCAATTAGGTTAGTATTGTGGAGTAATTACAATGTTGATCCATCCTCAGTTCTATCACAGCCATTAAACTAACTGTTTTGAAGTCACCATTGGCCTTATGGTGAAATCCCTGAGCGGTTTCCTTCCTCTCCGGCAACTGAGTTAGAAAGGACGCTTTTATCTTTGTAGTGACTGGGTGTATTGATACACAATCCACATGTAATTAATAACTTCACCATGCTCAAAGAGGCTTTCAATGTCTGCTTTTTCTTTACCCATCTTGCAATAGGTGCCCTTTGCAAGGCATTGGAAAACCTCCCTGGTCTTTGTGGTTGAATCTGTGTTTGAAATTCACTGCTCAACTGAGGGACCTTACAGATAATTGTATGTGTGGGGTACAGAGATGAGGTAATCATTAAAGAAAATCATGTTAAACACTATTATGGAGTGAGTACATGAACCTTAAGCACATTTTTACTCCTGAACTTATTTAGGCTTGCCATAACAAAGGGGTTGAATACTTAGACTCACGACATTTCAGCTTTTCATTTATTAATTTGTAAAACAATATGAAAAGCATAACTCCACTTCATCATTATGGGGTAGTGTGTTAGGCCAGTAAAAAAAAAAGTAATCTTAATTTAAGCCATGTTAAATTCAGGGTGTAACAACAAAATGTGGAAAAGACAAGGGGTGGGAATACTTTCTGAAGGAACTGAACATATCCCAACCAGAAGCCATGGATTACAGGCAACATCCTCGCTGAGCTAAAGGCTAGAGCTGCCGCTTTCAAGGAGCCGGACACTAACCCGGACTCTTATAAGAAATCCCTATACGCCCTCCGACGAACCATCAAACATGCAAAGCGTCAATACAGGACTAAGATTGAATCCCTGATCTGACACTGATGTGGCAGGGCTTGCAAACTATTACGGATTTCAAAGGGAAACCCAGCCTAGAGCTGCCCAGTGACGCAAGCTTACCAGATGAGCTAAATGCCTTCTATGCTCACGTTGAGGCAAGCAATACTGAACCATGCATGACAGCACCAGCTGTTCCGGACGACTGCTTGATCACCCTCTCAATAGCTGATGTGAGTAAGACCTTTAAACAGGTTAACATTCAGAAGGCCTCAGGACCAGACGGACTACCAGGACGCCTACTCAGAGCATGCGCTGACCAGCTGGCAAGTTTCTTCACTGACATTTTAAACTCCTCTGACCCAGTCTGTAATGCCTACATGTTTCAAGCAGACCACCATAATCCCTGTGACTAAGAACACCAAGGTAACCGGTCTAAATAACTACGGCCCTGTAGCACTCATCTGTAGCCATGAAATGCTTTGAAAGTCATGGCTCACAACACCATCATCCCAGAAACCCTGGACCCACTCCAATTCGCATACCGCCCCAACAGATCCACAAATGACGCAACCTCTATTGCTCGCCACACTGCCCTTTCACACCTGGCCAAAAGGAACACCTTCGTCAGAATGCTGTTCATTGACTACAGCTCAGCGTTCAACACCATAGTGCCCTCCAAGCTCATCACTACGCTAAGGACCCTGGGATTAAACACCTACCTCTGCAACTTCATGGGTGAGTGATCAGTCCCCTCCTGTACTCCCTGTTCACCCACGACTGTGTGGCTGCGGACGACTCCAAAACCATCATTAAGTTTGCTGACGATACCTGTGGTAGGCCTGATCACCGACGACAAGACAGCCTATAGGGAGGTCAGAGACCTGGCAGTGTGGTGCCACGACAACAACCTCTCCCTGAACGTCAGCAAGACAAAGGAGCTGATCGTGGACTACAGGAAACAGAGGGCCGAACATACCCCCATTCACATCGACGGGGCTGTAGTGGAGCGGGTCGAGAGCTTCAAGTTCCTGAAGAGGGCACAACAATGCCTCTTCCCCCTCAGGAGGTGGAGAAGATTTGACATGGGCCCTCAGATCCTCAAAAAGTTATACAGCTGCACCATTGAGAGCATCTTGAATGGCTGCATCACCGCTTGGTATGGCAACTGCTCGGCATCCGACCGCAAGGCGCTACAGAGGGTAGTGAGTACAGCCCAGTATGTCACTGGGGCCCGAACTCCCTGCCATCTAGGACCTCTATACCAGGCGGTTAGAGTAAGGCCCTAAAAATTGTCAAAGACTCTAGCCACCCAAGTCTTAGACTTCTCTGCTACCGCATGGCAAGCGGTACCGGAGCATCAAGTCTGTGACAAAAAAGCACCCGAACAGCTTCTACCCCCAAGCCATAAGACTGCTGAACAGTTAATCAAATGGCTCCCCAGACTATTTACATTGACCCCCTTTATGTCTTCATCTTGTTTTGCACCAACTCCCTTGCACACTCACTAGACTCTACCCACACTTTACATACGCTGCTGCTACTCTGTTTATTATATATCCTGATTGCCTAGTCACTTTTACCCCTACCACAGGAGGCTGCTGAGGGGAGGACGGCTCATAATAATGTCCAGAACAGAGCAAATGGAATGGCATCAAACATATGGAAACCATGTGTTTCATGTATTTGATATCATTCCACTTCAGCCATTACCTTGAGCCCGTCCTCCCCAATTAAAGTGCCACAAACCTCCTGTGACCCCTACCCACAAACTGTATTACCTTAACTACCTCGTACCCCGGCACATTGACTCAGTACTGGTACTCATATATAGCCTCGTTATTGTTTTTATTGTGTTACTATTTCCTTTTTTAGTAGCAAATATTTATCTTACTTTTTAACTCCGCACTGTTGGGAATGGGCTTGTAAGTAAGCATTTGACTGTAAAGTCTACACCTGTTATATTCAGAGCATGTGACCAATAGATGTGAGATGTGCATGTGGCAGGTGCAGGGCTCACCTTGGTGCACTTTCTCATGGTGCTTCAATTGTCCAGGACCAGCACATTCTCTCTTCTCAAAGTTACACCAATGGGAAAGGGTCAGAGCTCAGGCTGACGTGGTAGAGCCTACATACGCTCATAGATGCCAGTGTGTGTCATACTCACTGAAAGGGAAGCGGTTGTGCGTGTTCCGTCTTGTGTGTCTTGAGTTGGTTATTCTTCTTGAAGTCCTTCCCATAGCCCACACTAAAACAGAATAAATAACAAATCACAGCATCTTATCAACATCTGATGAATGATAATGAGCAGTAGGACCCATGTTTGTCCAATATGGCCGTCACTTTTCCTTCACCCACACAAAACTGTGGAAGTCTCAAGTGGGTTCTCAAAATATCACGTTTAGCCATCAACTGATTCAGAACCGTGTCAATGAAATCTAAGGCAATAAGGAGATGAAGTGAGCCCCAAAGTTTAGCCAACCTTCTAGTGCTTCTCCTGGTGCTGGTGAATGTGAGCCATGTGGGTCTTCATGCTGACATGTGTGGCGAAGGCCTCGGAGCATCCTGCAGCCAGACACCTGCAGATACACACAGGAACAGATGGGAGACCAGAGGGAAGGTTGGAAGAGGATTGATGCATTTTATGTCTCAGATATCACGGTGGGTTAGGTTACCATTCAGTAAAATTTCTGGGTCAAACCCATTCAGAACTAAACCCTAGCCTCGGTGCCAACCTGTCGCTTTGCTTTAGCCAACTGGTTGTCTTGCCAAATGGCTTGGAAAGGCAACAATGTAGCATTGTAGAATGCAGCCTCAAACAAACCAGTCATTGACAGTGAAGTGAACCATTGCCTTAGCCCTTTAGGATAGTGAAGCTTCACATCAGGCTTCATGCTCACATTTATGGCTTCTCTCCACTGTGGCTCAGCCTGTGGGCTTCATGCTCACATTTATGGCTTCTCTCCACTGTGGCTCAGCCTGTGGGCTTCATGCTCACATTTATGGCTTCTCTCCACTGTGGCTCAGCCTGTGGGCTTCATGCTCACATTTATGGCTTCTCTCCACTGTGGCTCAGCCTGTGGGCTTCATGCTCACATTTATGGCTTCTCTCCACTGTGGCTCAGCCTGTGGGCTTCATGCTCACATTTATGGCTTCTCTCCACTGTGGCTCAGCCTGTGGGCTTCATGCTCACATTTATGGCTTCTCTCCACTGTGGCTCAGCCTGTGGGCTTCATGCTCACATTTATGGCTTCTCTCCACTGTGGCTCAGCCGGTGTCTGGTGAGCTGGCTTCTCTCCACTGTGGCTCAGCCGGTGTCTGGTGAGCTGGTAGCGGATGCAGAAGCTCTTGTCACGGTTCTCGCATGAGAAGGGTTTCTGTCGAAGAGAAACATCACCATCATGGATCCCTCTCTGTAACAAGCACTAAAATACCCATGTGTTTCTGACCCCCAGACACATTTGATTAACTATCATCTAGCAGTTAAAAAAAAAAAAAAAAACACCATAGGATGTCCATTCTTTGTCTGATCTAACAGAAATGTGAAATACCGGCCCTAGGATCTGATCTCTTTTGGACCATGTGTTGAAAGAGGCTATAGCTGAGCAGGACAGATATAAACTGACCAAACCTGAGTGCTTACAAAGATGGGCATCTAATTTCCATGATTTATTGAAAGTGGCTTCGCAGTTGACAAAACAACAAATAAAGCTTTTTTTGGACTTGTATCCTTTCCCCAATTTTAATTGTATAGGTGGTAAAGATGACGGTGTTTTGGTAAAGAAACACCCCTAACAAAACCGAGGGCCAGTCGTTTACCGCACTACATGGATTGACACACTTGAGGATGATATATTTTATTGGGCGATGCCACTATTGAATAACACAGGGGTGTTTCAATCCACGCAATGGAAAGTGAACTAAATTGAAAGCCCATTTTGCCACAGTAGTCTAATACCCTAGATACATTTCAGGTATAAGTATTTTAATTATTTTGGCAAAATATTGATGTTTAATAAATGAATATTGGACACCTGCTTCGTGATTTTATTCACCCATCACCCTACGTTTGACCTTAGTTTGTTCCTGATTGGAGGAAGTTAGGAACACTGAATTGCTGTGGATCGATGCAAACAGCCTCATAGAGATAGAGAAAGAAAGGACTCATCGTGGATATTACCCGTCTCAGCATGGACATTGCCATTGAGGGCTTGCATGTTTCCACCATTTTAAAGTAGTCAAAGTAGTAAACTGGGTGGGGCTTCTATGGGTTGTAGCCTCAATGGCGCTGCCCATGCTGTCACAGATGCTATAATGCATATGTGTCAAACTCCTTCCAAGGAGAGCCAAGTGTCTGCGGGTTTTTTGCTCCACCCTTGTACTTGATTGACGTCACTAATTAGTAAGAAACTCCCCTCACCTGGTTGTCTAGGTCTTAACCCGCAGACACTCGGCCCTCTGTGGAATGAGTTTGACACCCCTGCTATAATGGCACAGATGTAAAGATGTCCTCTATCTATCTCTATGAACAGCCTATACAGGGTTGTGACGAGGAGTACAGCAGGGGTGTCAAACTCATTCCATGAAGGGCCTAGTGTCTGCGGGTTTTTGGTTTTTGGTTTTTCCTTTCAATCAGTGTGTACACAGGCAGCCCAATTTTCACTAATTGGTCTTTTGACGAATCAGATTAGCTCTGAAAAAAATCTGCTGTGAAAACATCTGATGTGATTGGTCAAAAGACCAATTAGTGGAAAAAGTATCAGACTTGGGCTGCCCAGCCAAAATAGCTTATCTTGGAAATGGTTGTGTTCGGGTTTCTGGCTCTGATTTGCTAGATCTAGATTATGTTATTGGTAAATTGAGTAGACTAGCCAGCAGTTGTTGTGATTCAGGTCCCTGAGCTTGCCTTTCTCTGACTGATTGTAGGCTTTAAAACTGTCATCCAGGCTCCTGACACTGTGCATCGCTATCTACTGTCTGTGTGCATTTGTTGTCTGAGCTAAGCGACTGTCTATCTCCAGTCATCAAACGCACATGGAATTTACAGCCCTAATTATGGTCTTATCAACCTGCGCCATACTGTTGTCTGACAGGTGTGATTTACAGTCATCATCTTCATTCTCCTGCTCTGTCCCAATGTGATCCTCTTTAACCCACGAGCCTGACTCATGCAATCCTGAAGACAGTTCAACCCACTACCAATTATATGACATTGCTCTTTATTTAGACTTAGATTAACAATATGTTTCCACAAGGATACTTCATTGTGAATTCAGGACAGCTGACAAATCCGAAAACAAAACAGAAAATCTTCAATCCAATATGGTCTGTACATTACCTAGACTAGAGACCAACTACCATGCATGTGTCATTTTCCCATAATCTGGTGAGAAACCTTTGGCTGACTTCTCTGAATGAGGCCTATTAAGAACCCCAGGGCATTACCTCTGCTCCCTCCCACACTTCAGGTCACCCGGCCTGGGTCGACCGCCACCGTTATCAGCCTCTCCCCGTCCGGTCACACTGGCCCAATCCCTCCACTGACAGGGGACAGGATCAATAACCCTAGTTCTGTATCTGTGGATGACCATGGTCTTCACTGATAACCACTACTGACAAGTATATAGGGGAAGAAAGACCCTATCTGTCCACCTATGCCCCCAGAGAGATACAGTGTGTTCTGTGTTTGGCCTGGGATTTCCTAGCTCCATTGTCCACCCACCAAACGAAAACACACACACATACCACACACTCCCCCCTCACATTACTGACACAAATACGCCCTTCATTTACTCACTGGCAGTCCTTCACCAGTTTTAATCAGACTCTAATCAGGCCAGAGACAAAGAAAGATAACAGAGAGAGAGAGAGAGAGGTGAAACAAGGAGGGTTGACAAGTGTGTGAGAACAACATGAACTCATTGAAACATTGTGAATAGAAAGAGAGAGACATAGTCTGATGTCTGTCATAATTATCATCCCGTACAGCTTCTGCTCTCCTCCCTCCCTCCACCAGTGGTGTGTGTGGTTAATGTGTGACACACAGGGTCGATATGGCTGCTCTGGGCTGCTGGCTGAGTTGACAGCCTCAATCTGTGTGTCGAACGCGTGTGATTAAGGAGCCCATAGTGATCCACTGCTTTTATCCACAAGTCCCGTTCCACACCACCCCCTCTTTCTCTCTCTCCTCCCTCCCTCGCTCTTTTCCTCTCAGACTGTTTACTTTTTCCTCCTTCAATCAGTAACTCCCATGAGTCAGCGTTCCAGATGAAGGCCCATTCTGTCTGGAAGAGCAGATTCACACACAATTTCCATGTTTCCTTCTTTCTCTTGCACTCTTTGTCATATCCTTGTATCTGACGGTACAGATATCACCATGTTTAAAGGAAGCTTTATAGGTGAAAAGGTAGGTGCCCAACGCCATAGGCGGATATCTAAGCACCCAGGCCTCAACGCAGTCTATACTGATCAATAACCAGGGATTTGGATGTCCGCTACTGATTGATCACATTGATTTTGGGTTCATGTGTAACCCCAGATAGTATTCATTCAGCTTGTTGGACACTTGTTGCACCAGTTATCTTTTGCCTTTAGGGAGACAGCCAGGGGTAACAGGGGCTGTAGGTTTGAGGTATATGGAGGGGATAGTATCCCACCAATGGGAATTCTAACCCTAATAGGCTGCATTTACAAAGGCAGACAAATTCTGATATTTTGCCCAATTATGGGCAACAGATGTGATCTGATTGGTCAAAAAACCATTAGTGGAAAAAAAATATCAGATTTGGTGTGCCTGTGTAAATGCAGCCTATTGACTGTATTTTTAAAGAATTGGGGGGAAATAATGAGTGGCATTTTTACAAATGCAACAATGACACAGGACATACCACACAACTACAATGATATTCAGATAGACAACTCATCATGCATCACATTTCAATAAGGAAAGTGATACATTTTCATATACATTCACGATATGCCTCATTTCCTGATAGTGTCAGTTAATGCTCTCTCTCTCCCAGCTGCTGCTACTACTATCTCAGTAAACTGGTCCTAATTGGAGTAAATATTGGGTAAAGAACTGAGGTGAGATGCGATAACATATTTGTCAGATATCCAGTCAGCCATTCAGCCTCCGCTGATTAAACAGCACACATCAAGATAGGACAGGGGTGGACCCTCCTCCCTACACACACACACCACCCACACAAAGTACACAGTCAAACACACACATAACAGGCATGGCTGCATGGTCACGCCACCAGAAAGGAGATGTAACACTTGAATGAAGAATGATGCATGTACTGTACACTAAGTTGTACTCCTGAGTGGCGCAGTGGTCTAAGGCACTGCATCACAGTGCTAACTGTGCCACTAGAGATCCTGGTTCGAATCCAGGCTCTGTCGCAGCCGGCCGCGACCGGGAGACTCATGGGCGGCGCACAATTGGCCCAGCGTCGTCCAGGATAGGGGAGGGAATGGCCGGCAGGGATGTAGCTCAGTTGATAGAGCATGGCGTTTGCAACGCCAGGGTTGGGGGTTCGATTCCCACGGGGGGCCAGTATAAAAAAAAAAAAAAAAAAATGTATTCACTAACTGTAAGTCGCTCTGGATAAGAGCGTCTGCTAAATGATGTAAATGTAAATGTAAAGACTGAACATCAGCATATGTTGTGATTGTACTTGAAGGGCATTTAAGTGTTCTCTAAATGGGTCAAACAGTGCTCTCAAATTCATCTAAATCTATAGGATACAATCAACATTTCCAGGGTATAGCTTTTTCAGATGTATTCTCAGTACCGGTTTATGATCATTGGCATGTTTATAGGAGCCTGGGCATTCAATAATTCAAACTGTACTATGAAACAAAGATAAATGATATAAAGAATGATAGTAAAAAGCTTTGGAGCACCTTAAATGAAATTTTGGGCAAAAAGGCAAACTCGGCTCCATCATTCATTTAATCAGATCGCAAAACCACTGATATTGCCAACTACTTTAATTAATTTTTCATTGGCAAGATTAGCAAACTTAGGCATGACATGCCAACAACAAATTCTGAACCTACACATCCATGCATAACTGACCAAATTATGAAAGACAAGCAAGTAATTTAGAATTCCGTAAAGTGAGGGTGGAGGAGGTGAAAAAAGTATTGTTATCTATCAACAATGACAAGCCACCTGCATCTGACAACTTGGATGGAAAATTACTGAGGATGATAGCGGACGATATTGCCACTTCTATTTGCCATCTCTTCACGCTAAGCCTACAGGAAAGTGTGTCCCCTCAGTCCTGGGGGGAAGCAAAAGTAATGCCTTTACTGGCTCAAACAGCCAACCAATCAGCATGTTACCAACATTTTACATTTTATTCATTTAGCAGACGCTCTTATCCAGAGCGACTTACAGGAGCAATTAGGGTTAAGTGCCTTGCTCAAGGGCACATCGACAGATTTTTCACCTAGTCGGCTCGGGGATTAGAACCAGCGACCTTTCGGTTACTGGCACAACGCTCTTAACCACTAAGCTACCTGCCGCCCCGAGGTAAATTGGAAAAAACAAATTTTCAGCACGCTTACAGGGAAGGGCCTTCTGACATATACGGCACTTACACAAATGACTGAGAAATTGATAATAAAGAGATTGTGGGAGCTGTTTTATTAGACTTCAGTTCGGCTTTTGACATTATCGATCATAATCTGCTGCTGGAAAAACATAAGTGTTATGGCTTTACACCCCCTGCTAGATTGTGGATCGAGAGTTACCTGTCTAACAGAACACAGAGGGTGTTCTTTAATGGAAGCCTCTCCAACATAATCCAGGTAGTCAGGCATTGCCCTGGGCAGCTGTCTAGGGCCCTTACTTTTTTCAATCTTTACTAATGACCTGCCACTGGCTCTGAGTAAAGCATGTATGCTGATGACTCAACGCTATACACCTCAGCTACCACAGCAAGTGAAATCACTGCAACAGTTAAAGAGGTGCAGTCAGTTTCAGAATGGGTGGCAAGGAATATGTTAGTACTAAATATTTCAAAAAATGAAAAGCATTTTATTTGGGACAAATCGTTCACCAAACCCTAAACCTCAACTAAATCTTGTAATGAATAATGTGGAAATTGAGCAAGTTGAGGTGAATAAATTGCTTGGAGTAACCCTGGATTGTAAACTGTCATGGTCAAAACATATTGATACAACAGCAGCTAAGATGGGGAGAGGTCTGTCCATAATAAAGCGCTGCTCTGCCTTCTTAACAACACTGGTCCTACAGGCCCAGGTTTTGTCGCAGCTGTACTACTGTCCAGTCGTGTGGTCAGGTGCCACAGAGAGGGACTTATGAAAATGACAATTGGCCCAGAACAGGGCAGCATGGCTGGTCCTTAAATGTACACGGAGAGCAAACAATAATATGCATGTCAATCTCTCCTGGCTCAAAGTAGAGGAGAGATTGATTTCATCACTACTTGTTTTTGTGAGAGGTACATGAATGCACTGAGCTGTCTGTTTAAACTACTAGCACACAGCTCAGACACCCATGCACACCCCACAAGACATGCCACCAGAGGTCTCTTTACAGTCCCCATGTCCAGAACAGACTATGGGAGGCACGCAGTACTACATGGAACTCTAATCCACATCAAGTAACTCATGCAAGCAGTAAAATCTGATTTCTTTTTTTTTACTGATAAAAATACACCTTATGGAACAGCGGGGACTGTGAAGAGACACACAGACACTATACACACATACACATGGACTTTGTGTTGTAGATATGTGGTAGTAGAGTAGTGGCCTGAGGGCACACAATGTGTTGAATGTATTGTGATGTTTTTAAATTGTATACAGCCTTCATTTTGCTGGACACCAGGAAGAGTAGCTGTTGCCATGGCAGCAGCTAATGGGGATCCATAATAAACCCCAGGAAGAGTAGCTGCTGCCTTGGCAGGAACTAATGGGGATCCATAATAAACCCCAGGAAGAGTAGCTGTTGCCTTGGTAGCCGCTACTGGGGATCCATAATAAATACCAAGGATCAGTCAAGGGAATGTTGTTTCCCAATCAAATACTGAAGCTCCTACAGAGAAAGGCACTTATCCTGGAGCACATTGCCCTCTGCTGGCCTGATTTGTGTACTAGAAGTTATTTCCAATAAGTACATTAAACAGGGTACAAAGTTCATAAATGTATATTTTGAAAAAGTCCACTTTGAACATTGACATATTTGCAACACACTCAATCCATTTTAAATTGACATACTTCCAGATTTTCTGCTTTATTTGACAACGGACAGCACTCACATCTCAAGTGTCAAAACACTTCCCATTAATGGCAACTCAAACGCAAGTGGAGAGTGCCTAAAGTAGGTTGAGTAAAAGCTGTGTGTATACTTTCAGACTGTTGTGCTTGTTGTTCTCAGTTTGCCGGTGAAATAGAAATAGCATTTCACTTCCCTCCGAGTGATCAATGAAAGAGAATCACTGAACGACAGCAGCAATCCAAGTCTCCCTGGACAGCACCTACAGTTGAAGTCGGAAGTTTACATACACCTTAGCCAAATCCATTTAAACTCAGTTTTTCACAATTCCTGACATTTAATCCTAGTAAAAATTCCCTGTCTTAGGTCAGTTAGGATCACCACTTTATTTTAAGAATGTGAAATGTCAGAATAATAGTAGAGAATGATTTATTTCAGCTTTTATTTCTTTCATCACATTCCCAGTGGGTCAGAAGTTTACATACACTCAATTAGTATTTGGTAACATTGCCTTTAAATTGTTTAACTTGGGTCAAACGTTTTGGGTAGCCTTCCACAATAAGTTGGGTGAATTTTAGCCCATTCCTCCTGACAGAGCTGGTGTAACTGAGTCAGGTTTGTAGGCCTCCTTGCTCGCACACACTTTCAGTTCTGCCCACACATTTTCTATAGGATTGAGGTCAGGGCTTTGTAATGGGCACTCCAATACCTTGACTTTGTTGTCCTTAAGCCATTATGCCACAACTTTGGAAGTATGCTTGGGGTCATTCTCCATTTGGAAGATCCATTTGCAACCAAGCTTTAACTTCCTGACGTCTTGAGATGTTGCTTCAATATATCCACATAATTTTCCTTCCTCATGATGCCATCTATTTTGTGAAGTGCACCAGTCCCTCCTGCAGAAAAGCACGGTTGGGATGGTGTTCTTCGGCTTGCAAGAACCCCCTTTTTCCTCCAAACATAACGACGGTCATTATGGCCAAACAGTTCTATTTTTGTTTCATCAGACCAGAGGACATTTCTCCAAAACGTACAATCTTTGTCCCCGTGTGCAGTTGCAAACTGTAGTCTGTCTTTTTTATGGCGTTTTTGGAGCAGTGGCTTCTTCCTTGCTGAGCGGCCTTTCAGGTTATGTCGATACAGGACTCGTTTTACTGTGGATATAGATACTTTTGTACCCGTTTCCTCCAGCATCTTCACAAGGTCCTTTGCTGTTGTTCTGGGATTGATTTGCACTTTTCGCACCAAAGTAAGTTCATCTCTAGGAGACAGAACAAGTCTCCTTCCTGAGCGGTATGACGGCTGCGTGGTCCCATGGTGTTTATACTTCCGTACTATTGTTTGTACAGATGAACGTGGTAGCTTCAGGCGTTTGGAAATTGCTCCAAAAGACTTGTGGTCTACAATTTTTTTCTGAGGTCTTGGCTGATTTATTTTGATTTTCCCATGATGTCAAGCAAAGAGCCACTGAGTTTGAAGGTAGGCCTTGAAATACATCCACAGGTACACCTCCAATTGACTCAAATGATGTCAATTTGCCTATCAGAAGCTTCTAAAGCCATGGCATCACTTTCTGGAATTTTCCAAGCTGTTTAAAAGGCACAGTCAACTTAGAACTTAGTAAACTTCTGACCCACTGGAATTGTGATACAGTGAATTATAAGTGAAATAATCTGTCTGTAAACAATTGTTGGAAAAAGTACATGTGTCATGCACAAAGTAGATGTCCTAACAGACTTGCCAAAACTATAGTTTGTCAACAAGAAATTTGTGGAGTGGTTGAAAAACGAGTTTTAATGTCTCCAACCTAAGTGTATGTAAACTTCCGATTTCAACTGTACATAACAGTAACTCAAGGTACCCATCAAGGGTCAGTTCTCCCCCTGCCCTGAAATCATCTCCTTCTCCCTTAGGTAGTTTTTGACATGTACAGAATTTACCAACATCCCTGCATGTTAGTGTACATAAGAGACTCAGGTTCACAGAAGTCTGTGTAGAAACAGTTTTATTTTGGTCAGCATAGTTATGCCATGAACTCATAGGGGATGGGCTCCAGCAGCTGGGGCTCGTTGCCCTTGGTGCTGACAAAGCGGGCGTCACGGGGAGCAGTGGGCTGCAGGGGAGATGAAGAAGAAAGGACAAATGCACAGATGAGATGTCACTACAAATAATAATAATAACCTGCCATTTAGCAGGCGCTTTTATCCGAAGCGACTTACAGTCATGCGTGCATACATTTTACATGTGGGTGCACAATTCAAAGGACTGTATTAGAAATAATGGCATGGCAGAATTACCATTACAGAACGCCTCAAACAATCAAAACATTCCACTATATCAGTGTTGGTGTCCTTTCTATATCTTCAATCTATCTGGACTGTTCAATTATGTAGAATAGTGACTAACAAGACTGGTCCTAGAGAGCTACAGGATGTACAGCCCTTTATTAGTTAGCAGCGCATTAAAACACTACTGACAATGGCCCAGGTAAATCTGCTCTCCATACCTGGCGTTTCAGCTCGACCCAGGTGCCCTTCTGCTTGGCCTCCACCTTCCTCTTCTCATTCTCCTTGACACGCTGCAGGAAGCTGTCTCTGCTCTTAGAGTGCTTTACATGCTCAATACGCACGTTGATCCTCTTGGCCAGGATCTTACCCCTACAGAGAGAAGGGGAGACCGTTTTCAGCTTGGAAACAATCAGGGACATGGTCTTCACAACATACAAAAGGCTACTGGTCACAAGATGGATGTAAGCAACGTAATTGAGATCCTGACTTATCAGAAAACATTACACTTCCAAATGGCGAAATACTTGTTATGCCATGACCTGTAATTGTGATTTTTTTGTTGTTGATGTGTCTCCTTCAACAACCCAAGTTCAAACATACGGTAGGTGCTTGGCTGGGGTGCTGAAGTACAAATACTGTCCCCCACGTGAATGACCACTTAGGACATAGGCCAGTCCAGGCGGCAAAGTGAAGATGGGGTTTTGAGACAGGCGACAATCAGACATCTGCAACGTCAACCTTCCTTTACAGAGATATTGGCAGGGCACATTCATTTCATTTATTAAAGCGCTTCAACATGAACAAGCTGGAAAGGAAACCGATACTGACCATTTTCCAATCCGCCACACATTGCCTTGTACTTACTTGACCTGCTTGTTGACAATGATGCCAACAGCATGTTGGGTTACGTTGTAGACTCTGCCCGTCTTGCCATGGTAGCACTTGTGAGGCATTCCTTTCTGGATGGTACCTGTACCCTAGAGGAGAGACATTCACAATCTTAGAGTTGCATTTTGGTGAAGTCCAAAATATAAATGTAGTTACGCTGCACTCACTACCAATAGCTACGTTTCCATCCAATTTGCCAACCGATGTTCATGCGAATATTTACAAGTCTGCATAACACAATACGCATTTTCAGCACTGACTTTTTGTAGATAAATGGCTGTGCGTGATGATGTAGTGCACATAAAAATAACTTGCCGTTAAATTCCCATGTACCGAATGAAAAATACAAGTTAAATGGGTTTCCATCACATTTTCAACTCTGATGGATTTGTCACAACCTGTTGTGTTATATAGCAAATGTGCCCACTCTGGCTTTAACCAACAGCTAGCAGACACAGTGCAGGTAGGCTACCTACATTATGAGATTATTATGGATAAGAGCGATATTACTTTTATTTGTCAAACAGCAGCCAAGCATCAATCATCATGTCACCAGAATAAGACCCTCAATATTTATTGGGCAGAAGCATCAAGCTCATCACCTTGCACATTCACCACCCTGTGAAGTTCATCATAACTTATTTAAATCTGTAACCTAATAAATTGCATGGTTTCCGAGTCGTAGTGGGAGGACCAACCACACCATATCATCGCGTGACTCCAAATTTACTTTGATAATAAAGTTAAATCAATAGTTGTGCATAAAGGCATTTCCACTGCCATTTCTCACAATTTATTTTAGACACAAAAAGATCCCACCATATAGAACGAACAAATTGTCTCTGCATTTATAAAATTGTTCCGGTGTCAGCCCAGTGGTGACTTTCATGCGTCAGGTAATTCATCCGCATAAAATTGATAAATTGAAACCTGGTTAGTGAAACCTAGAAAAGGTGGAACAAACCCCACCTTGATGTCAACGATATCTCCCTTCCTGTAGATACGCATGTATGTGGACAGGGGAATGGGGCCTGAGGAACAAAGTATATTGATTATTCACAACCAACCAAAACAACAATTCTAAAATGGACTTGAGTAACTAATGAAGGCTACTCAGCTGTGGATTCATGCCAGCAACACCCCTAATCTTGAGTTCTTGATTTTAAATAACTCAGAATTGTTAGTGACCTAACAAGACATTACAGTATATCTTCAGTCTTTCTGAAATGAACTCACCATGCTTGCGGAAGGCCCTGCTGAACATGTACCTCGTCCCCCTCCTCTTGCCTCTTGTGTTCGTCATGATGACTGATTACTGGAACATGGACATTCAAATGTTTGATAAACCCAATGGCAAAGTATGAATACTGTATTACTGTGGCTGTAAAAAGTATGGTTACAAGAGTGGTCTAGGATTATGTATACTGGGATTTAGTACAGTCAAAGGATGTAATGCTGTCAGATACAAAAACTTAATTTAACCCCCTATGTATCTATGCTATGTAACTAAATTACCAACAATACCCTGGTCATTTTAACGTTAACTTTATCACAACAGACAGGCTAACTTCAGGCTAACTTCACTGCAAAGAAAATAAATGTTCTCCGAATCATAGCTAGTGATTATTGTAAGATCCATCCCAGTATTAACAATAAGGGGACATTCAAAACATGGAAACGTCAGTCAAAAATACAACTTGCCACAAAACAAGTTACTTAGCTCGCAAACTCAGTCCAATACCGCTTCCTTTTCTCAGACTGACAATTAAGTTAACTGTCACGTTGCAACAAAGTTAAGTTATTTTAGATGTCAAATTTGCTGGCTGTGTATGCCATTGTGCCTAAGAAATAGGCAAATCCTGCGAACGCAGCAGTGGTTAGGGCCCGCATGGGAAGCCACGCTGTTACCCCATTCACAAATCGTCTCACTATATGCTACACAGACGGTCTTTCATGGATGAATTCTCGCCTCAAATATAGAGTATGTTTTAACCTACTTATGTCAATGTCTTTATATGCATTTAAAACGACGTTTTATGATTTTACAGTCTTTAAAAGCGGAACACATCTTACCCCCGGTAGCTCGCAAGATGGCGGGTACGGCGGAAAGAAAGAATGAAAGACCGGAAACTCCTCCTTCTAAAATAGATTTCAGCATGGCCTTCATATTGCCTGAACAAACATGCTAGAGTATAATAATTGTTTTCCCCTCTGTGCTGATCTAAGTTCAGTTTTGATTCTATTCTATACATTTATCCCAGACAACAACAACAATTTCAGATAATAGCTAACTTCCTTTCCTATTGGAATGTTGACGCACTGTAAAGCGTCAAATAAACAATATATGTCAGTGAACTGCTGAAAGACTCATCTAATATTTTATTTTTTCTTTATTTAACTAGGCAAGTCAGTTAAGAACACATTCTTATTTACAATGACCGGCCAAACCCGGACGATGCTGGGCCAATTGTGCGCCGCCCTATGGGACTCCCAATCACGGCTGGTTGGAATCGAACCAGGGGGTCTGTAGTGACGTCTCAAGCACTGAGATGCAGTGCCTTAGACCGCTGCGCCACTCGGGAGCCCCTAATATAACCTTTTTTAGCAAAATGTATTAAAATAATGCATATTTAGTTGTGCTTGTGCATTATCAAAATATTTGATCGATGAACTGCTGACCGTGACAGCTAGCTAGATAGACATGTAAATTATATTCTCGTCTCAAAAGCCTGATCAAAGATTCAGTGAGTTTGACATTGATTACAGTCGTCAATCTCTACACAGCTGTATGTCCAGAATTGCTAATGTGGGCATATCTGTCAATGTTATATTACGTACGCCACAGAACATGGACATCGGATGGAGGTTGTCTTGCACGGCGCTAAAACGGTCATGGCAAGAAGGGATCTAGCTTTTGTCAAATTAACGTAAAAAGTTGATTTTGTTGTTGTTGCATTTTAGCTAACTAAATATTTTCTTAACCTTAACCTTATTCTGCTAAATCTGACGTTAATTTGACAAAAACTGGATCGCTTCCAGAGATGACCCTCTAAGACCAAGCGGAGCTCCCATCGCCCGTCCAGTGTGTCCTGTCACAAGGGAGTCCTCGCCTCCACGCGGTGATTGGGTGGAAGATGGCGCTGGGCGAATGGAAATCCTAATGACAGTTTCCAAATTTGCCTCTTTTTGTACCATGGTGAGTAAATGGCATCTTCTAAACACATTGCGAAGTGATGTGAGGGAGGCACGACAACCGTGGTTGTGTTGTTTCCATCTTACGTGACAGGGAAGATGGTTAAAATCGTCTGCTTGTCGTGGCTTCACTCACTGACACGACAGTCTTGTTTTCGTCTCACGTTCTATAGCTAGCTATGATAACTAATGTCATAGGCGTTTAAATTGTTATATTAGCAAGCTGTTTATGTATGATATTGCATTAATTAGTGAAGACAAGTTAAATGCTGTGTTTATCTCCTCCCGCACTGTGACCCAGTGACCGCACCGCATAGCTCTGCGGCTTCAGCACCTGGCACTGTAACGTTAACTTGTTACCGCGTCTAGCTAGCTTGCACATTCATTTAGCAGTAAAGCAGTGTGGATGTCAAGGCATTTCAACACTGGACACAATTTGAATACTAAATCAACATAACTGAATAATTGTTAGCTGAGTTTATTCTACTCCACGATCATTGTCAGTTGTGCTTTTCCTGTATATGAATGCTAATTTAGCTAGCCAACATTTCCAGTTAGCTACAGTAGCTAGTTAGTTAGCTATACCATTGTGACTGATGAAATAGTGAGTTGTCTTCCTGTAAACCCCTTATCTGAATACTTCCGAAGCGCGAGCTATTTTTGGAACACAGCAGATGACGACATGATCAGCTGCTAGACAAGACTGACTGGCTGTCATGTTGTTCCCAGTTTGCAAAGATAACTACTTAGTTTGGCAAACCTGTCAGACAGACGTCATTCATTTGGATCTTACATTTAATTGTGTTAATTATTTAGGATCATAACCAACCTCTGCCCATGTAGGCCTACAAAGGAAGTCCTGGTTGCTGTGCAAATGCATGGTTAGGGTCATGTTCCATTATCAAAGAATGACACAGTCATTTTGCCCCCCCCCCCCCCCCCCCCCCACAGCTATTGGCATTGGATATGAAATTCAATTTAGAACTATTGATCGGTACACACTCCCATCGACCTATGCTAAAAATATCAGCACTTTGTGTTACAGGGCGCCAATGCCTCCGCTCTGGAGAAAGAGATTGGCTCAGAGCAGTTCCCTGTCAACGAGCACTACTTCGGATTGGTCAACGTGAGTGAGAGTGCCGTAGTTCACATGCACATGTCTACATAATCTTTGTTACAGATCACATGTGCCTTATCCATGCAGATGGTTATAATCATTGTGTATATGTGTGTGTCCAGCTCTTTGCCTTACTCTCTGTATCCGTCCTTGTATTTGCCCCCCAGTTTGGGAACACGTGCTACTGTAACTCGGTGCTGCAGGCGCTGTACTTCTGCCGTCCGTTCCGGGAGAAGATCTTGGCATACCGCAGCCAGCCCCGACGCAAGGAGAACCTGCTGACCTGCCTGGCTGACCTGTTCCACAGCATCGCCAACCAGAAGAGGAAAGTGGGAGTCATACCACCCAAGAAGTTCATCACGCGCCTACGCAAGGAGAATGGTGAGAGGGAGATAGTATGCTTGTAGTTCGGGATGGGGGGGAATTGAGGAAACGGTTGATGGTTGAAAATGTTGTGGGTGTGAATATTTTGACAGACCCTCTATCCCCTGTTCCCTACCCACCTCCTCTCCCCCCCCCTCTCCATCTCCCTCTGCAGAGCTGTTTGACAACTACATGCAACAGGATGCCCATGAGTTCCTGAACTACCTGCTCAACACCATCGCTGACCTGCTGCAGGAGGAGAGGAAGCAGGACAAGACCAACGGCCGCCTGGCCAATGGCTCACTCGACTCCCAGAACAACAATAGCAACGCCCCGCCTCCCTCCACCTGGGTCCACGAGATCTTCCAGGGCACCCTCACCAACGAGACCCGCTGCCTCACCTGTGAAACGGTACATACCGTCTGAGTCTAAAGCCCCCCACCCACATCAACTTGTGATGTCCCTGTTGTTGTGGTCAGCAGGATGCAATACATGTCGGTGATACACTGTAGATAGAAGGCAGGCTCAAGTTCTGTTGGCTGGAAGATGGACAAAATGAAGTTTCCATCTGGCTCTAGTTATGACAGGATGCTGTTGTTTTCTCCCTACAGATCAGCAGCAAAGATGAAGACTTCCTGGACCTGTCAGTGGATGTGGAACAGAACACGTCCATCACACACTGTCTCAGGTAACGTCTACAACACCTGACTACAATAACACATTACATACTGACTGGCCTGTGTATTGCTTCTTGCTCCGTGTGACTCCAAGTACTCTGACCCCTCCCTCTCCTTCTCTATTTCTCTGTCCAGGGGGTTTAGTAACACAGAGACTCTCTGCAGTGAGTATAAGTACTACTGTGAAGAATGTAGAAGCAAACAGGAGGCACACAAAAGGTCAGTGTTGGCAGTGTTGTGTTCATTGTAAAAGTAAACAAATGTATTATTCTGTGATGACCATGTTTATCTCTAGTATAAGGTGTGTGTGTGTGTTCTGCATCTGCGTCCACTGTAATTGACTCACTTCCCCCCCAGGATGCGTGTGAAGAAGCTGCCTATGATCCTGGCTCTACACCTGAAGAGGTTTAAGTACATGGAGCAGCTGCAGCGCTACACCAAGCTGTCCTATCGCGTTGTCTTCCCTCTGGAGCTCCGCCTCTTCAACACCTCCGGAGACGCAACCAATCCCGAGAGGCTCTATGACCTGGTCGCCGTCGTGGTGCATTGTGGGAGGTCAGTGTTGTTTACTAGGTTGTCTAAAAGTATTCTAACTGACCCTTAAGGTTGTGAGTGTGTGTTGCTGACTCCGTCGTCTTGTTTTCAGTGGTCCAAACCGAGGACACTACATCGCCATTGTGAAGAGTCACGACTTCTGGTTGCTGTTTGATGACGACATTGTAGAGGTAAGATATTGTGTGTGTGTATGGGTTGGTTTTTCTTTCCTTGTGGGGACTTAAAATCCCCAAAAGTACCACAAGGATTGTAAAACAATAAAAAATGTGGACAAAGGCTATTTTAGGGTTAGGGTAAGGTGTTTGTGGTTAGTTAGGGTTAGGGGAGATAGGAATTTTAGGTCCCCACGAGGATGGAAGAACACAAACTGTGTGTGCGAACATGCATACGTGCGCCCTTGTGTTTTGTGCGACCCTATTGACCTGTGTTGTCTCTCCTTGGCTCTGCAGAAGATAGACGCCCAGGCCATAGAGGAGTTCTACGGCCTCACCTCTGAGATCTCCAAGAACTCTGAGTCAGGCTACATCCTATTCTACCAGTCGAGAGACTGACTAGCCCTGGAGAGGACAGCACCACTCAGTGAAGCGGAGGACCATACTAATGTACACCCCTCTGGTGTCACACGCATCTCCACAGGTGGCATTCATACCTGTGTATATGGAGCTACTGCAGCCCAGCCTCAGTCCCCCCCCATCCCCCCATCCTCCTACCTCCCCCACCCCGTCACTTAGGCTGGAGATGTTGCTACAGGGAGTTGTGTCAAAGGTTCAGTGGACGTTGTATCAAAGTTTTGTGAGTTGGAAAGCTGTTTAATGAGGGTTGTACAGAGGTTGTGTGAATGAGGCGTTGGTTATAGCATGGGGTTTTGGGTGGGGTGAGTGGGTATTTAATGATTAATGTGTTGTAATATCGGCCAGGCGTCTACACACTCCCTCAGACTGCAACTCTGCTTTGGTGCCTGGCTGGGGCCTAGTCAGAGCAGACCAGTTGACTGTACAGTCGTGGTCAAACGTTTTGAGAATGACACAAGTATTGGTCTTCAAAGTTCGCTGCTTCAGTGTTTAGATATTTTTGTCAGATGTTACAATGGTATACTGAAGTATAATTACAAGCATTCCATAAGTGTCAAAGGCTTTTATTGACAATTACATTAAGTTTATGCAAAGAGTCAATATTTGCAGTGTTGAATCTTCTTTTTCAAGACCTCTGCAATCCACCCTGGCATGCTGTCAATTAACTTCTGGGCCACATCCTGACTGATGGCAGCCCATTCTTGCATAATCAATGCTTGGAGTTTGTGAGAATTTGTGGGTTTTTGTTTGTCCACCTGCCTCTTGAGTATTGACCACAAGTTTTCAATGGGATTAAGGTCTGGGGAGTTTCCTGGCCATGGACCCAAAATGTCGATGTTTTGTTCCCCGAGCCACTTAGTTATCACTTTTGCCTTATGGCAAGGTGCTCCATCATGCTGGAAAATGCATTGTTCATCACCAAACTGTTCTTGGATGGTTGGGAGAAGTTGCTCTCGGAGGATGTGTTGGTACCATTCTTTATTCATGGCTGTGTTCTTAGGCAAAATTGTGAGTGAGCCCACTCCCTTGGCTGAGAAGCAACCTCACACATGAATGGTCTCAGGATGCTTTACTGTTGGCATGACACAGGACTGATGGTAGCACTCACCTTGTCTTCTCCGGACAAGCTTTTTTCCGGATGCCCCAAACAATCGGAAAGGGGATCCATCAGAAAAAATGACTTTACCCCAGTCCTCAGCAATCCAATCCCTGTAACTTTTGCAGAATATCAGTCTGTTCCTGATGTTTTTCCTGGAGAGAAGTGGCTTCCTTGCTGCCCTTCTTGACACCAGGCCATCCTCCAAAAGTCTTTGCCTCACTGTGCGTGCAGATGCACTCACACCAGCCTGCTGCCATTCCTGAGCAAGCTCTGCACTGGTGGTGCCCCGATCCCGCAGCTGAATCAACTTTAGGAGACGGTCCTGGCGCTTGCTGGACTTTCTTGGGCGCCCTGACGCCTTCTTCACAACAATTGAACCTCTCTCCTTGAAGTTCTTGATGATCCGATAAATGGTTGATTTAGGTGCAATCTTACTAGCAGCAATATCCTTGTCTGTGAAGCCCTTTTTGTGCAAAGCAATGATGACGGCACGTGTTTCCTTGCAGGTAACCATGTTTAACAGAGGAAGAACAATGATTTCAAGCACCACCCTCATTTTAAAGCTTCCAGTCTGTTATTCTAACTCAATCAGCATGACAGAGTGATCTCCAGCCTTGTCCTCGTCAACACTCTCACCTGTGTTAACGTGAGAATCACTGACATGATGTCAGCTGGTCCTTTTGTGGCAGGGCTGAAATGCAGTGGAAATGTTTTTGGGGATTAAGTTCATTTTCATGGCAAAGAGGGACTTTGCAATTAATTGCAATTCATCTGATCTCTCTCCATAACATTCTGGAGTATATGCAAATTGCCATCATAAAAACTGAGGCAGCAGACTGTGAAAATTAATATGTGTGTCATTCTCAACTTTTGACCACGACTGTACATGAAGGGAGAGTGGGGAGGTGAGTGTTCCAGGTGTGGGACAGTTGGGTCATGTATTTCTACCATGTACAGAGTGGTATTTGTATAAATATTATGAGAAGAATAAGATGATATTATCATTAAAAAAAAACTAAGACCTTGAGAAGTATATGTATTGTCTCTATGGTGCACTTTTGATACCGTTTTGTAGGTGTTGGCAAGGTTTATGTGAGGGTTTGCTCGAAACGGCCTGTTGTGAAATGGTCATTTTCTGTTTTAAAGAAATATTAATAAAAGCTAATAGATACAGGCTGTGAGTGTGTGTTCTACTTTCATGGAATGGTTCCTCTCCCACGGGTGCACACTGATGACTCATCATTGCTCAGCACTGCCCTTCAGTGGTTCTACCTGGTCACTACAGGTTCATACTTGCAACAGCACAACAGCAGTCTATTTTTTATTCATTCACACCTCCAGTCATGATGCTGCCTATGTAAGCAGACCACCCACTGTTGCCTTAACAACAGGGCTAGATGATGCTAGGGAAGACAGCTCACTGTATCAAAGGCAGCTGTGTGGAGGAGACTACTGACTAGCCACCTACAGACTTAATCAAAATGGGGATATTTTGCAAATTAATTTCCTTTTGTTAATGAATGATTGAAAGCACAGTACAGAGGGACTGATAGTGATGAGGGATAGGGACAGAGAAGATGGAGGAGAGAGAGAGGGAGGAGAATCGGAAGGAGGCAGCGCACCATTGGCCCAGCGTCGTCCAGGGTATGGGAGGGAATGGCCGGCAGGGATGTAGCTCAGTTGGTAGAGCATGGCGTTTGCAACGCCAGGGTTGTGGGTTCGATTCCCACGGGGGACGAGTATGAAAAAATATAAAAATAATAATAATGTATGCACTCACTACCTGTAAGTCGCTCTGGATAATAGCGTCTGCTAAATGACTAAAATGTAAATGTAATTATGGTTAGAATAGACATGCCCAGAATAGCAAAACACATGGGTCTAGGAGAAATGTGGACAAACGTCGGAATCTGAAGTAAAATTGGTCAAACAGATACCACACCTTGGTAACAAATCATAACTCATAAAGTAACTGTCCAGTAAAAATCTAACTTTTAAAAGTAATATTCTGATCATTTATACCCAAATAAGGTTGTTGACTCGTCCTATGGCCTACTGGTATTTGTGACCAAAGCATACATTTGAGAAAAAATACTTTCAAAAACCCACCTCAAAATTGTATCTCAAACAGACCATTTAAAAAATGCTTGCTATTTCCTCATAGAGGATGATGTCATCTTTCTGTCTACTTGCATTTTTTTTTTTTATGACTGGTATATGCCCACACCATTAATTCTGTTGTTGGGGTATGCCCACACCATTCCAACACAGAAAAGCTGCTTTTTAACATAATTACAATTTTTGAAAGGAATACTATTTCACTCTTATTGTCATTAATTATAGGTCATATTTCATAGAAATCTGGAAACACTGGACAGCTCCTTAAAAATAAAAAGATAGACACATACACACAATGATGCCCACAACACTACTGTCTGTCTCTGTCCTTGAGCAGTGGGCGCTGACAGACGAATAGGTCTTCCTGGTATTGAGCTGTTGCTGTCTCGTCCTCCGGTAAGGGGTATTGAACAAACAGGACGCGTCTCGGAATCTGGCCCGTTAGAGAGCAGCGCTCCCCCTTTTCCCCACCCCGGCTCGCTGCACAGCCGCAGTCCACAGCAACGCTCCTGTAAAGCCTCTGCTCCACTTTCCCTGCTCTCCCTCTGCTTCAGTAAAGACCCACCCACCCCCCGGTGTTACAGTGCTGCATCTCCATCTGATCGGGGCGCTGCACCTGCCGCCATCGTTATCAATAGCCTATAATGGAAATACAGCAAGGACGCACTTTTATCTAGACGGGCGCCGCACCGCGGAGTCAAGGTAAGCATGTGAATAGTGGTGGATACATGGATGAATGAATGAATGAATGAATGAATGAATGGACGGTCTATTTGAGGAAAATTGTTAATGCAATGCAACCTAGGCTTTTGGGAAAACCAAAGGAGATTAAATATTATTAGGCCTAATGTTGAGACTCGTGAGAAGGTAAGAGAGCAGCACCACAAAGGACTAGGATGCTGAAATTGTCTGTTTTGCGTTATTGCAAGCATCCACGGGTTGTGGCTGAGAAGAGGCTGTCGCGACCATTGCCTCTTATGGTGGTGTGCGATACATGTACAATCGAATGTGTCCATAGTGCAAGGTGCATGTCTTTTATGGTTCCTATTCCTACATTGTGTGGTTTTCATAATTAGGCCTAATATCAATGTATGATCGATTATTATAGTAGGCCTATTTGGAAAGACATTATATGGAGCCTATTGATGAGTAGCCTACATAATCTGCCACCACAACAACTATAGCAAGTATAGGCAAGTGTGTATTGTTCTTTCAATTCATATCAGATAGGGTACAATACATTTTAGATTATAATCAGGCTATGAGTGATCTCTTGTTACTGTATTAAAAATAAGGTATGAAATGTGCATGTGTGGGTAGAGAAATATTGTTTAGGCTACTATAGTCCTCTATGAATGTATCTTATGTGTGAGCTCTCATCTCTGTGTGGCTTCTCAAGTGTGTGTGTGTGTGTCTGAAGTGCCACTGCTAGTGTGTGTGTGAATTTTGACGTGTGTGTGTGTTTGGTGTATGCGTCAACGTGTGCGTGTGTGTGTGTGTGACCTCTTATAACGCTAGTATGTGTGTGTGTGTGTTTCCAGACTGGGGGCACAATGAGTGACAACTATGAGGCGTCGGTCACCCCCAGCTGGCTGACCCCTGACCCCACAGCCTGGTCCAGCAGTGGAGACGGATTCACGGACAACGCCACCTACTCATCTCTGGACTCCTTCCCCCCGGTGCCCCCTCTCCTGGTCAACCCCTGGGACATCTTGCTGTGCTCCTCAGGGACCCTCATCGCCTGTGAGAACGCCCTGGTGGTGCTGGTGATCTGGCAGAACCCGTCTCTCCGAGCCCCCATGTTCCTGCTGATCGGCAGCCTGGCCCTGGCTGACCTCCTGGCTGGTCTGGGCCTGGTGCTCCACTTCACCTTGGCCTACCTGCTGAGGTCTGACTCGGCCCAGCTGCTGACTGTGGGTCTGGTGGTGGCCTCCTTC